GCGGCGCCTGCATCCCGGCCCGCGCGTGCGCGGACTCGCCAAACACGCCGCGGCAGATGTCCAGCAGGCGTGTGCGGTGCGCGTGCATGCGGTGCGCAGGGAACAGAGCGCGGCGGGCGGCGGGCGCGGGCTGCTGCGGCGCCGACTCCACTGCCCCGGGCGCCGCGCGCGCCTGCGCGGCCGCCACTGCCGCCGCGACGTCGGCGTTGTCCTCCTCGTCCGACGAGGGTGGGCGGCGGCGCAGGCGCGACGACAGCGTCCCGCCCACTCGCCCCGCCAGTGCCAGCGCGCTGGACCCCGTGCTGGCCGCCACCGAGGCCGCCGCCGCGGCACGACGCCGTGCGGCGGCCAGCCGCCCGGGTCCCTCCGGCGCGCGGCCCAGCTCAGAGCGGGCGTCGACGTCGCCGGCGTCCGCACCCGCTCCCAGGCCGGCCATGAGCTCGGCCTGCGCGCGGAGCGCGGCGTCTGCCGCCGCGCCACGCACGATCACGCGGCCGGGGGTGACGTAGAGCTGCCGGCCAAGGGGCGTGAAGTTGGGCGCGGCGCGGAGGGGCGCGGACGCTGCCGCGCCCAGCGGGGCGGCCAGGTACCGCGCTGCCGCGCCGGCCGTCCGGGCCACCACCTGTGTATGTGTGCCAGGGGGGAGTTGAGGAGGGACACAGTCATGCGGGAGCGCTAGAGCACAGCCCTCGGCGTCGAGACCCGGGTTGCCACAGCGCGGGGTACGCCTGTGCTGCCCTGTGCCCTCCGGTTCCCTCCTCATTCACCGCAACAACCCTGCACAACACAATCCCACTCCCCAGTCCTGCCTCTCCCGCCCCGTCAATGTCAGCCCCCTCTTTTGCATCACCAACGCACCCTGATGGGGGGCGTCGCGGCGGCGGAGAAGCGATCTTTCAGCTGCTGGCCCCGCGCGGCGCTCGAGCTCGCAGCCTCTTCGGCGGAGTCGGGCGGGGCGGCGGGACCCCCCGTCCGGGACCTCGCCCCTGCGCCGGATGCTTCCTCGGCCACCCGACCGGGGCGGGCGCTCAGGGGCCCCAGGCCCGGCAGGGAGGAGAAGCGCTCCGCCCCGACGGCGATGTTGTTGGCCAGGCCCTCGGAGGGGGGGGGTGGCTCTCCGGCCGTACTTGCCCCCTCGGGCCTGCCCGCTCCAGACCCCGCCCTCCAGGATAGCAGCCGTGGGATGGGGTCCTCTGCGATTGTGTGTGGTGGGAGGAGGGGGATGAGACAGGGCGCCTGATAGGGTTCAGGACCGGCATGGGACGCCTCCCGGTCGACAGGCACCCTCCTGAACACCAGGCGACGGAACATTGAGACAGCGGGGCGGGAGCCGAATCCCAGGACGGCCACGATGCACCCCTCCCTGTCGGACACCTCATCACGCCAACATTCCTTCTTCATTCCCACCTGGCCACCCCATACCCTCCCCAGCCCCCCACCTGGCATGAGGTAGTTCCGGATGCACTTATCCCACCCCGCCTCGCGGCAGATGTCGGCCAGCACGCCGTTGGCCACGGCGGGCGTGGCAAAGCCGTAGCAGGACACGCCGGCGTGCGCGGCGCGCGGCAGGCGGGCCAGCAGGCTGACCGTGCACAGCGCGGCCACCGCGCCGCCCAGGGAGTGCCCGCACAGCACCAGGCGCTTGCCGCGCGCCTCGGCCTCCGCGTAAATGGCCTCCACGGGGACGGAGCGCGCGCGGTTGAGGAACCCGCGGTGGACGAGGGGGGGGGCGGGGCCGCCGCCCTCCTGGGCGGGCGAGGCCTCGCCTCGCTCGGCGCCCTGAGACAGGGGCTTGGCGGGTGCCCAGGCCGCCGGATCCAGCTGCATCTCCTGCAGCGGGGAGTTGGGGAAGGGTTGGGGTATGGGTGAGCCTGCTGTGAGGAGGGAAGAACATCAGAATCTACATGGCCACACCCGTCTCCCACGCCAAGCAGCCCCTGGTATGGGCTGGTCCATACACACCGATGCACCCCGCTCTCACCTCCTGCCAGAGGTTGACGTTGGTCATGAAATCGGAGGCCATCTTGGTGCCCATGAAGGCCAGATACATGGCCGAGTCGGACTCCGCCAGCATGAACCTGGAGGCAGGGGAGTGAGGGTGAAAAGCTGATACAGGTTCGTGCCATGCTTTCCTCAGTACAGCTGCAGAGAATTCATACCCTCCCTCAGCGCAGCCGGGGGTGGCCTGCAGCGGCGGTGCGCGGCAGCCCAAGCTGCATCGCAGCAACGCCTCATCCCAATGCTCAGGTTCCACTGCCTATCCCCCCCGCCATAAAATTCAACCTGTGTTGGACGTGGGGGAGCGCCCACTGCACTGCCCTAAGTTTGCAGAGACCGGGAGGGAGGGTGGCGGTCAGGTCCTGGATGCACTCCAGTACCTCTGCGGGCTTCATGTCCACCACCTTGTACACGACCTCGGACAGGACGGCGCACGACAGTAGGTCCTGTTGAGTTTCGGAGAGAGAAGTGCGGGGTTGAGCAGGGCGCCATGTGGTGCATGAGAGGATTCTGTCACGGAGCTTCTCCCCGGAGCCCGGGATCGCTCACGGCCAGCACCGTACCTGCAATTCCAGCACGCTTTCGACTTGCAGGTGGCGACATGCCGCCTGGAGGAGGTCAGGAGGTAGGGAGAGGCCGGAGGCCTGGCTAGGCGGCAGGCCGGTCGCGGCGAATAGCCGCTTGGCGAAGGCCACCGAAGACTGGGACACCGCGCGCAGGATCACGCCCAGGCGTCTGGTGGGTGACACGACGGTCCTTGGCGCCAACAATGGTATGGAAGGGGTTGACGTGCTCCGTCGCATGGCCCCCATGCCGCCGCTGGGCAGCAGGGCAAGGCCTGACAGTCGGGCCATCCCGCACTGTTGCCGCGGTTTGCGCTCTGGGCCGCTACTAGGTAGGTATCGGGGACCGCGGGCAGAGTGGGGAGCTGTCTATGTATCTGAGACAATGATCGGCCTCCTGGTGCTGATGAGGAACCAGGCCTGGGAAGGTTAACGCGCCGGGTCAGCCCTCGATGGGCGGGGTAGGGACGCTTTTTAAAAAACAACCTCAGAGGGCCGTCGAAGAGAGTGTTAACAGTTTAAATGCCTTCACAATGTGGATTCCAGGGGCTGACTCCTCGCAAGACTACGCTTGGACGGAATGCATCCCGTACGGGTCGGGCCCTTCGCGCCTCATGGGGAGCTGCAGCTGGGTGTGAGATGCGGGGGTTAGGCCAAGTGGTGTACGAAACCCTTTGCCCAAAGTGCTCTTTCGGAATCGCTCTGTGGTATTGATCCGGTACTTTTAAAAGTTACGAATCGGAATGGCGAACAGCATACTTTTACAACGGTGAGCGAGGTATGTGTTCATACACCTAGTCAGGACACGAGGTCCCTCAGTGTCGAGGCCACGTATCTCTGTAGTGCGTTGAAGGACGGGCGTCCTCAGCGGACACTCGGGGCCGAGCCGGAGGGAGCCACGATGCACATATGGAGTTGCCAAAGCAGCGTGGGCAATCTGGTTTGGAAAAGTCGACCCTGGGAGCTATGCTGTGCATGCCGCGCATCGTCCCGTTGCACGATCAATGGCACCCCCCCTCGGGCATCATGACGCCACCATCGGAGGGTGCAGAAGTGGATGGCTACACTCCCGTGCATCGGGTGGAGTGATTTTGGCGCAATGTGTCAAACCATCGCCCTCTACAGGGCGTCATGATGTCTTCTGAGTGGCCTATGTAGGTCCCCGGGCACAGTGCCTGCCCTCCGAGACAGGCTCGCCCCAGCCCCTCTGCCGGCATGTCCACCCCCAAGGGCGTCATCTACTCCATCGCGGAGCGCACGGGCAAGCTGGTGGACCTGACATACAGCTCCCTGGTGCACCAGTTGGGCCTCACCCCCCCTTTCTTCAAGGAGGGCCTGGGGCAGCTGGACGTGGTGGACTTCCACAACGACCTGGTGACCCTGAGAGACTGGCTCCCAACGGCCCTGGACGACCCGGTGAGCCCGAGCTGTGCAAGCGCCGACGTTGTCAAGCTGGTGGGCAGCGTCGTCGCTCACCCCAAGCGTGAGGGCGCTGCACTCTGCACCTGCGCAGAATTTCCCCACAAACCTAACCCCTTGTTGTTTTACCCCAGGACCGGCGCCTGGACTGGGTGCAGACCGACGCTGGGCGCGTGGGGTCCAGGCAGTACCGCGTGTACCGCGCGTCCTTCGAGAGCCCCGTGGCCCGCGACTCGCGCGCCGCGCACGCGCTCCCCGCCGAGAGCCGAACTGCGCACGCGCTGTGGATCGCGCCGGACCCGCTGCCGGGCCAGGCGCCGGGGCCCTGCACGCTGCAGCTGGCGGCCACGGGGGACCACGGCTTTGCCCGACGCACCCGCCTGGGCTTGCCCCTGGTGGAGAAGGTGCTTGTTTGAGTTTGTTTGGTTTGTCTGGGGGGGGGTAGGAGGGTGTTCTCATGGCTGAAGCAGGCAAATGACTGGTTGAAGTGCTTGGCGTGGGGTGGATCTGTGCCCAGGGGTGGTTGAGGTGCCCGTGTCTGGCTTTGGCAGAGGGATGGCCAGTTGCTGTTGCCACCACACGTCGGCAGGCATGAACTCCGAGCGCCCTCCGCTCCGCCCTTCCCTCGATGACTCGAGCCACGCCCGCTCCCTCAGCTCGACGCTCTCACCCCCACCCCACCCCTTCCTTCTCACCAAAGGGCATCGGCACCATCGCGCTGGAGTCACCGTACTATGGCCTGCGCAAGCCGGCGCAGCAGCGCGGCGCCAAGCTGGCCCGCGTCTCCGACCTCCTGCTCCTGGGCCGCGCCACGATCGAAGAGGGCGCGCTGCTCCTGGACTGGCTGCGCCGGCAGGGCCACGGCCGCCTGGGCGTGGGCGGGCTGTCCATGGGTGGCGTGCACGCCAGCATGGTGGCCGGCATGTACCCGGGCGCCGTGGCGCTGACGCCGCTGCTGGCGCCGCGCAGCGCAGCCAGCGCGTACTGCACCGGCGCGCTGCGCCACGCCACCGCCTGGCCGCGGCTGGCCGCGGAGGCGGAGGGCCGGGGCCCGGAGGTGCGCGAGCAGCTGGCGCGCGCGGGGCGAGCCACCGACGCGCTGCGTGCCGCGCGCTACCTCCTGGACGAGACGGACGGCGAGACTGCGCGGACAGGGGTGCCAGCCGGCACCGCGCCCGGCCGCGCGGCAGAGGCGCGGGGGAGCGAGGCGACAGGGACCCCGGGGACCGAGGTGCCGAGCCCTCCCGGAACCGCAGACGGCGGGGTCTGGGCCGGGGTGGGCGGGCTGGCAGAGCGGCTGCTCAAATGGGTGGCCATGCTGGAGAGGAGGGAGGAGCATGCGGCCGCCGTGGCCCTCCTTGCGCAGGTGCTGGAGGCCTTCACCGACGTGTCGCGCTTCCCCAGGCGAGCAGGGAAGGGTGGAGGTGGGAGGGGGGGGGATGTTGAGTCAGGGCTGGGCATACGTACGCACTGTTGCCGTCGGATTGTGCCAGTCAGGTCGATCCGACGGGGTGAGCGGGCCATCACCCCTTGCATGCATGCAGTACCCTTCCGCCTGGGCCCCCCCGTTCTCTGACCGCCAAGTCCACCCACTCCCGACCCACCCCGAACAACAGGCCGCGCTGCCCAGAGGCTGCAATTGTGGTGGGGGCGACGGAGGACGCGTATGTCTGCCGCGAGGCGGTGCTGGACCTGCACCACTTCCTGGAGGGGAGCGAGGTGCGCTGGGTGCCGGGGGGCCACGTCTCCTCCTTCCTCCTGCACCAGGAGGCCTTCCGCTCGGCCATAGCAGACTCCCTGGCGCGCCTGCCGGCGTGAGGTTGCCGTGCGCTCAACCTGTGAGCGCCTGAATGAACACTCGGAGGCCTGGCATGTGGTGCGAGCCATGGGATACATGAAACCACCTCCCTCTCCTGCCCAACAGCCGCCTTCTCCAACATCCAAATGCACCCGCATGAGAGCTACTTGTGTCCCTCGTGAAGGTATGATGTCATGCGCGTAAACTGTAAATCATAGCTGGCACCGGGAAGTGCTAGTCTGGCTGGAGTGGTCGTGGAGTCATGCTGAGCTCGTCCCAAGCACGTTTGCAATGGACCGGCCCTCGACATCCAATTCACGTCCGGGATCCGATCTGGAAGGCCTAGCCTCGATCTGCATTCAGTCACACCCATTGAAGAATTCCAGCCGGATTCTGAGATGGCCGAAACGGTGTCCTGCCGCTCCGAGAAGCAAGCAAGTCGGCTTGGGGGTCGGGACGTGCTGGCGGCATTGGTGGGGGCAGCACTGGTGGCTGCCACCGCCGCAGCTCGACGGGCATGGAAGCTAGGTCAGCGTCGCAAGCGTGTGGTGCGCAGTTGGAGTAGAAAGTACGGGTCTGATCGGTGGACAGGGATGCTGGATGCAGTGCTTGATGATGGGAAGGTCGACCCTCAGATCACATCACCTCCCACAGGTCGGCATCCTTCCTGCCCGCTACGACTCCTCGCGCTTCCCTGGCAAGCCTCTCATCCCACTGCTGGGCAAGCCCATGATCCTGCACACCTACGACCAGGTTGGGAGTTGCCCCTTGGAACGTGCTGTTGCTGGAGTAGGGCTATCACTTTTGCGCTCTGTTCGTGTGCTGTCTCGAGAATCTTCCCAAGACAATCCTGACACAATCTCCCAAGCCTTGCTTTCCCAGGCCTGCAAAGCAACTACCCTGGATGCAGTGGTCGTCGCCACGGACGACGAGAGGATAGCCTCTGTGTGTCGCGCGCATGGAGCCCAGGTGGTGATGACACGGCCCGACTGCCCCAATGGTGAGCCGGAAGTACATGCTTGATTGGGGTGCAGTGTACTTTATGGGCACTCTGAGCCCCTAGAAGAGGATGTAGTGCCCGTTGAGAACGGCGTGGAGGCCAAGTTTCCCCCGTCATGCCCTTTCCCCATTCCTCAACCCTGCACCACCCCAGGGACCGAGCGGTGTGAGGAGGCAGTCCAGGCCCTGGGCAAGCAGTACGACATCGTGATCAACATCCAGGGGGACGAGCCCCTGATTGACCCCGGGACCATCGACGCGGTGGTCACCGCGCTCCAAGACTCGCCAGACGCCGTGTACAGGTGGGGTGGTTAGGGAGGGTGCTTGCAACCCCGAACCGAGGCGGTTGCAGAGCCTGGCAAGGCGGGCCCCATGGGGCTTCGGGTGGTCGTGCGGATGCTGTGATGCACTCCCGGAGGCCCCTGGGTGTCTATTTGCAACGAGCCATACCATGTCCAAGCCGATGACTGCCACCAAAGCTATGTTTCCCTACCCTCCGCATCCCATCCCCATCCACAACCATCCTCAGCACGGCCGCCACGCCCCTGGCGACCGACGAGGTGGCCCTGCGCCAGCGTGTCAAGGTGGCTACCGACGCCCAGGGCTACGCCATCTACTTCTCCCGGGGGGTCCTGCCCCACAACAAGGATGGTGTTGTGAGGTGGGTGGAGGCTGGGCCATGGCGCCTGGGTGGCTACGGCTCGAGGCCTGGGACACCTGTGCAGTCAGGGTGCCGCTTGTCGCGACTTCACGCCAAGGGCGTGGCTGGCAGGTGGCCTTGTCCGCTGCCTCCCAGCCTGCCAGATGTGTGCGGCTTGCACGGGACTGCGGACCATCCATACCCCATTCCAAACATTGCCTCTTACCGCACTGCAGGTCCTACCCGGCCCCGTGGACCGAGAAACCCTACCTCCTGCACCTGGGCCTGCAGTGCTACGACCGTGCCTTCCTCTCAAAGTACTGCAAGATGCCCGCGACACCCCTCATGGTGGGCGCGTCTTAGAGGGGTGGGGGAAGGGGATTGCGGACTTGGTTCTGGCGCCGCCTGCGGTCCTGGCATGCTGTTGCTGTTGCTGTTCCGTCAGCAGCATCAGAACAAACCCATTCCCCTTATCGCCTGCCAATGCCAATGCAGGCAATGGAGGATCTGGAGCAGCTCAAGGTTCTGGAGAACGGCTACAAGATGAAGGTCAGTACCGGATGGCATGGCTCCTGCTGGGCGGATTTTGCACCAGATGCCAGCAGTGCAAGATGGTCGATAGTGTAGGCCTGCAGACTCCATGCATCCCAGCGTCTGCTCGGTGTGTCTGCAAACCCACCCTCCTCACACCTCTCCTGCCCAACCCCCTCGCAACAGGTGGTGGAGGTGAGCCACAGCGCGCATGGCGTGGACGTGCCCGAGGATGTGGCCTCCATCGAGCGCCTGTTGACCGCGCAGGCCAGTGCGGTAGGGGCAGTCGCCGTCGCCGTCCGGCAAGCGTAGATGCCACGTCAAACCTGGGTGGTCTGCTTGCACAAGGGTTTACAAGAGGGCGTGTAAACGCGTCACATGGATTGTTGATGCATGGTACAGCTGCAAGGAGACGTGCATGGGCCGTGTCCCAGGTGGGCAGCCCCCCGTCTCAGTGTTGCAGCGTCAGACGCTCTCGACGGTCAGTGCACAGGGTTTGAATTCAGTCAGGGGAGGGGTGAGGGGATATACTGTGAGTCGGACACAAGGGGTTGCTCGGCGGCGCAGGCCTCGTTGCGGGTATCCCCGCTCCCAGCGCCTGCGCAGAGCCCCACGGCGTCACAAGGCGGGCTGTGACCCTTCCTCCATGGGCTCGGCGGGGCCGTGGCGCATCAGCTCCCGCAGCTCCTCCCGCAGCTCCTCCAGGGAGGTGACCACGTCGGGCTCCGCGCCCTCCCGCCCCAGCGCCGCGGCGGCGGCCAGCCCCTCCTCGGCCGCTTCCAGCGCGTCGTCGTACTCGCCGCCGCGCGTCAGCGCCTCGGCCAGCAGCAGGTGCACGGAGGGCACGCCGTCGTTCTCCTCCAGCAGGCCGCCCAGCACGCCCAGCGTGCTGTCCCGCTCCACGTCCAGCTCCAGGAGCAGGCGCGCGGTCTCGAACCGGAACTCAAAACTGGGCGGCTCGGGCTCGTCCCCGGCGCCCGCCCCGCTCCCGCTGTCCTCGCTGCCCAGATCCTCCTCCTCGTCGGCGTCGCCGCCGCCCTCGTCGCCGCCCTCGTCCGCGCCGGGGCGGTACCACAGGCCCAGCGACTGGCGCAGCAGGTCCGCGGCCGCGTCGGCGCGCCCGCACTGCAGCGCCAGCTGCGCGGCGTTCTGGAAGGGCTCGGGGCTGGCCGGGTCCAGCGCGCGCGCCTCGGCCAGCAGCGGCTCCACCGCCGAGGTCAGCCGCGCGGCGGCCTCCGGGCCCAGGCCGCCGGCCCCCTCGGCCGCCGCGGCCGCCGAGGACATCACCTCCTCGGCCAGGCAGCAGAGGGAGGAGGAGAGCTGCGACGACAGCGCGGCGCGGTGGCTCGCCAGCTCGTCCTCGGTGTCGGGCGAGGCGATGAGCGCATTCTGGTGGTAAACGTTGGAAGGGGAAAGGAAGGGGGGAATGGTCGGTGAGCTCGCACAGACCAGAGCCTTCGGTGGTCGGCAAGCAGGCTGTCGATGCCAGGGCACGGCGGCCTCGGCATGAAACAGGTGGATGATACTGAAACTACCAAAGATGTGGTGGCCGGTCACGCGCGGGCTCCGCGGGCGGGGTGGGGGGCCCTTGAGCCCCCAGCGCCCAACCTCCCCCGTGGCAAAGACCGGCCAGGCCAGCTGCCGTGCAGGCTTTCTTTCCAGGACCCATCAGCTGCTATGTAACCGCATTGATTAGGGCGGCCGCAGAAAAGAGATCCCGGTTGTTGAGCGGTGGTTGCTGACGCGGAGACTGCACATTCGCTCTCCACTCCCAACCCTCAAAGCTGAAAACATACGCCCTGACTTACCGAACGGTCCAGTTCGACTCTCAAAATGTCGACGCCTCTCCTGAGCGCCGCTTCCGCCAGCTCACCATGCAGCAGCTGGCCAAGGTACCTGCATGGTGTTAACAACGCAGGGGGGGTGCAAGCTCGGATGGAGAACTCAAGTAGAGACACGAGGCAAGAGCACTCTGAAGCAGCTCTGGCTGCAGTCAAGCAAGTGGCATCAGGTTGTCAGAGGTGAAGGTTTCGTCAGCATGGGCGTGTGACCCTATGCAGAGATAGAATAATATTTGCACGTTCATCCTTTGCCGGAGAAGAAGTGGGTATTCCTTGCTCTCCTCATCACCATCACCATGGCTCACATGTACTTTTCAAATCCGGCGTCAGGCTGTACTTCAGCGGCCTTCCTGAGCACGCTGACGGCCTCATCACGGCTCCCGGTCTCCGACAAGAACGCTCCGTATGCACTCAGGAATTCTGGGTTCTGAGGTCATGGAGAGGGTTGTAGGCCGCTTATGCTCGGGAAGGGAACTGGTGGGAAGCAAGCCCTCCCCTAGCTCCACCTGAGGACTCAAACTCCGTCACACTCACCTCTGGTTCAAGCTTCAAGGCCTGAATGTACTTGGAACGTGCTGTGTCAAAGTCATCTTGCATGAAGGCAATCTCTGCATCGTCGAAAATCTCCTCCGCTGACTGCAGGCGGGCAAGATAAATTGCCCGTAAACGCAGGCGCTCCAGCGATGCATTCGCGCGTTCAGATACCAAGGCATCGATGCAAGTGATGTCTCCTCCGACTCACCAATCCCGCCTTGTGCGTGGCATGCTTCTTGCCGCCGAACTTCTTGCCCATCGGCGGGGATGTGTGCCGCGCACCAGACGACAATGACCAAAGTGTGTGGAAGCCAATCAGCTTAGAGTATCTATGTGTAACGGAATACGACCATTTTTTAAGTGAGATCGGCCTGGGTTTAGGTGCAGAGCGATTGGCGCCGTCCACTTCCTGGGGGGGGGGACTGTTTGCTGAGGAGGGTACCACAACAGCGGTGGGGTACCGCGGCTCGACCACACGACACACGCACGGTCGTGTGCACGTTCACCCTCATGGTGAACAGTGCGTGCTCACACAACCCCACGCGAGTTAGCATCAAGGCAGAGTGCTTGCGATTGACAACATGCACGCCCACATATCTGGCTGATTCACCCGTAATGGGAGCCATGACAATGCCCAAGGCTTCATGCGGAGGGCTCCCATGCTCCTCCGCATACGGGCATGCAGCCGTTGGCTGGGCAAGAGCCGGGTCCCGTGTTTCCCTGCTCACCCCACATGCACAGTATGCATCCAGCACCTCTACGAAACCGCCTGCAGCCCTGCCCCCCAAACCCGCTGCCCAGCCCATGAGCACACAAACCAGCAAGTGCGCCGCTGGAGGGATGCATGCCGGGGGTTCACGGGACGAGCGGCCCGTGTTTTGGCAGGGCCTGCTGTTGTAGCATGTATCTGAGAGGTCTTCCTTCCTCCTGATGATGACATCGGCTTCCCCCATGCTGCACCCTCTTTTCCTGCTCCTCCCGTGAACCACCTGTCACCTAGCAACCTCCACCCCCTTCCTGCGCAGGCACATCACCTGGACCTGGCCCGGGCTCATGCCGGACATGCGCGCCGCCTACCTGCAGCTGCAGGAGGAGACGGGGACGTGCCGCATCAACCAGACCTACTCCCCCGAGGCTGTGCGCCAGGCGGCCTTTGGCACGCGGGGCGCCACGCTGGCCACCGCGGGCCGCGTCGCGACGGTGGTGCTGCAACTGACCGGCTTCGCCGCGCGCTTGGCCTGGGATCGGGCCCGGGGCCTCACCGACGGTGACAGCGTGGTGTCGCTGCGCGCGGTGCAGCTGCGCCGCCTGCTCACCCGCCTGGGCCCCACCTTTGTCAAGGCGGGGCAGGTGCTGGCCAACCGCCCGGACATTGTGCGCCAGGATTACATGAATGAGTTGTGCCTGCTGCAGGATGCCGTGCCGCCCTTTCCAAACGACCAGGTGGGGGGGGCAGGAAGGGACTGTGATGCCGGAGGGCAAGTGCCTTGACTGCATGGGCATGTGTGTGGCAGAGCAGGGGGTGACAAGGAGGGGAGGGTGATACAAGTGGCATGCCGGTAGGCTTCTCTCTGCTTGTTGTGCCGTGCCAGCCGAGGTATTCTTAGAGACTGGACTGAGCCAACTGTGGGTACACGGAGCCCACTCTCCCCATCCTCCAACGAACCGCAGGCCATGCGCATGATCGAGGAGGCGCTGGGCCGCCCCATGGGCATGGTGTTCTCCTTCATCTCCGAGGACCCCATTGCCGCGGCCTCCCTGGGCCAGGTGTACAAGGCCGTGCTGCGGGAGACGGGGGAGGAGGTGGCCATCAAGGTGCGGGGAGTTGGTTTTTGGGAGCAGGTTTTCGTGCTCGTCACCGTGCGACAAGTGGTGAGGGGCCTCTGGGCCCCTGCCTCTGGGACCTTGTGCCTTCATCCAGTAACACACAACGCTCCCATACAGGTCCAGAGGCCCGGGGTGGAGCCCACAGTCCTACGCGACCTTTTCTTCTTCCGCATCATCGGCGGCTTGCTGACGCGCTGGTCGCTGCAGCGCCTGGGCTGCAACGCGGAGCTCATCGTGGATGAGTTTGCTGAGAAACTGCTGGAGGAGCTGGATTACGTGCAGGAGGCGCGGAACATCGAGGTGGGGCAGGGGGATAAAGGGCGGGGCTCTTTCATAGCGTGGATGGCGTGTGCTGGCCGGCGCACTTGAGGGCGGTGGCAGCTCTTCGTCCCTGCGTACCCAGCTGAGAAGTCCCTACCTCAGAATCCAAACCCCAACACACACTCAGGACTTTTACCGCAACTTCCAAGGCGACCCGCTGGTGAAGATCCCCTGGGTGAGGAAGGACCTGTCCAGTCGCCAGGTGCTGGTCATGGAGTGGATCGAGGGCGTGCGGTGCTCGGACGTCCTAGCCCTGCAGGCATCCGGCATCGACCTGGAGGTGAGTCTGGGTGGGGGTGGAGGTGGGAGCACGCGAGGGTTTATTATTTCTGTGTTTATGTCCATCAAGGAATCAACCTAGTGCATTGCCTGGCTAATGGGGGTCCAGACTGCTTTGCCCAGGCTCCCAGCCTGGCTCCTCTCTACGTCTGCTGCATAGCTCCATCGATGATTGGTCCCTCTATGCCCCTTCCCACATGCAGAGGTTCATCAGGATAGGGGTCATCTCCGGCATGCGCCAGCTGCTGGAGTTTGGTCTGTTCCACGGCGACCCGCACCCGGGCAACATCTTTGCGCTGCATGATGGCCGCATCGCCTACGTGGATTTCGGCAACGTCGCGGAGCTCAGGTGTGTGACCGGGCTGGAGATGAAGGATGCTGGACCGCGATTTTCTCATACGTGGCCCATATTTAGGTCGTGCAGGTTGATGGCAGGAGTGCACGTGCCAAAAACTAGTGCAGTTGACTATCATTTTCCCGAGGCGAGACCCACAACCCCCACTCCCGTTCTCCCCTTCTCTGACAGTCAACGCAACAAGGAGGTGCTGATTGACGCCGTGGTTCATGCCGTGAACCAGGATTATTCGGGCATGGCGGAGGACTTCATCAAGCTGGGGTTTCTTGCCGAGAGTGAGTGCTGGACTTGGGAGCTGCGCGCCTGTTGTGGACCTCTACCCACCATTGGATGATCAGGGTGGTGGACTGGCGTGGCGTGAGGGTGCAGATGCTTTGGAGGCGCTCAGGATCAGGAGCTGGTCTTGAGACACCGAATCACTCCAACGCAATCATCTTCCTCACATTGCAGACACGGATGTGAGCCCCATTGTCCCGGCCTTGGAGCGGATCTGGGCAGACTCCATGGGCAAGTCCATGGCCGACTTCAATTTCCGCACTGTGACGACCAAGTTCAACGAGCTGGTGTACCAGTACCCCATCCGAGTGCCTGAGCGCTATGCCCTCGTCATCAGGTGGGTGCCGCAGGGGCTGGGCAGTGTTGCTGAGGATGTGTGGGCGCTCAGGAAAGGCTCAGGGCCAACTTCACACCCTCCCACCTATATACACAGGTCCCTGCTGACCCAGGAGGGCGTCTGCCTGAGCATCGACCCCAACTTCCAGTTCCTGGCGGTGGCATACCCTTACATTGCCCGCCGCCTACTCACCGACCCTGACCCCTCCCTCAGATCTCGCCTCATCCAGGTTTGGAGGGGGTTGGGACACATTTTGAGCCATTGCTGCATGCCCTGATTGTACCAGTAGCCCTTGCAGTCGGGACATGGGGCGGAAATATATGCTGGGTCCCTTCCTGCCGTTTCTACATAATTGGAAATTTGAAGTAAGTTATTAGAATACCCAGGGGTGACCTAGGGTCTGCCGCCTGAGCTGTCATCACCACCCGCACTCATGCAGGTGCTCTTCCAGGGCGGGAAGTTCAGGTGGGACAGGCTGCAGAACCTGGTGACCCTGGCGCAGAGCGGGACGGGAGCTGTGGCAGCTGACCTCACCACCACCGTCTCGGATGGCCTCAGGGTAAGCCTTGTGGGGCGGTCTAGACTGGCGGGGTCTGTTGAATTGTGCTGGGCTCCCATAGGCTTGCACCATTTTGCAATCTGAAACCCTGCGCCGCTCTCCTTCTCAGGTGGTTTTGCTGGACCCCAAGCTCCGCGCCCAGATGATCCTGGCACTCACAGAGGACGACCGGCTGCATGTCAAGGAGGTGCGACATGCCATGGGGTCGAGGTGGAGAGTTGCACTCCATTTTTGCGCGCAGGTCATCTGCACAAGGCCTTTGAGCCGTAAGAGCATTCCACCTTCTGTTTATTTTACACTGCGGCCCAGAACCTGTACACAAGTCTCCTAACCCTCCAAACCCAGCCCATCCTCGCCCTATAGGTGCAAGAGCTGCTGCGGCTGGTGCAGCCTCAGCTGGACATTCCTCAGGCCCTGCAAAGCACTGCCCGGGAGCTGCCGAGCCTGGTCCGTCAGATGGCCCTGTCATGGTCTCGGCAGGTGCTTGCATCCCCATGACCAGCTCGTTTTCAGGGCAGCTGTGGTGGTATTTTTTTGGCCGAGTTTTCCTGCGTCCCTGGCCACACTGTGGCACAGATGTTAGTGAGGGTGAATTTTGTGCACCGTGAGATGAAACTGTTCTCGCACTTGAATTTTTGGGTCTCCTGTGGATGACTGAAGCATCCCATGTACACACGTAAGGTCCTAGTGTGAGCCAGATCCGTGCTTGCGCTGCCATCTGGGCACAGCAGCAGCTGTGAGGTGCCGAGTAAATAGATTGGGGGAACGGCTTAGTCAGCCATTTGCATGCCACAAGAGCACAGCAGTCGCTGTAGTAGTGTGAGCCCCGATTATACACCAGGCTCCTGGATATCAGGCTTCTTCAACGAAGTGTTACCATCACACAATATCTTTCGAGATAACCCTCAACCAGGTCAGCAGTGCACCTTCTAACCACAGCGCTCTCGCCCTTTTAAACCTCAGTCTCTGTACACTGTAACTCGTCAAGAATATCCCGTCAAGTGCCTGGGCTGCCTTACAGAAACCGTATCTCCAAGTCAGGCACATCCCACACCTCACTTCCTTCTTCGCTTGCTTTGCTTGTCCCCCCTGGGAGTTGCCTGCGCCGAGGCTGGTTCATCCCTCTCTGCCTGCCCGTTGAGCAGGTGGGCGTACTCTTCCAAGGGCGCAAAGTCTGAGCTCAGGTCCTTCGAGCGGCGCTTGCCACCCCGTGCTGGCAGGGCCTCGACCTCCTCGTCCTCGTGATCCTCATCGTCCTCCTCATTGTCGGCGCTGCTGCTGCTGCTGCTGCTCGGTTCTGCCAGCTCAAAGGGGTTGACGTCTTCTGGACCTGAGACTGTGGACTTGGCACCCCTACGCACAGCCTTGGAGCCGAGAAGGGCTGCCACCTCGGCGTCAGCTGCATCCTCGTCCCCCGATGACGAGTCCTCGCCTGCTTGTTGATAGGAGCAGGGGAGCGTGTTGACTTCAGATTCAAGCACTTGTCATCAACAGCGGGTAGAGTTGGGGTGATGGTGGCCATCTGTCAAAGCACTGGCGGGTTGGAGGGCAGCTGCGCTGACTCAGAGTCCTGCTAGGAGATCCATCGCACTCCAGGCCCCCCCACCACAAATTCTCATCCAACTCATGATCTCCAAACCCCGGAGTCCTTGCTCCGGCTGCACACCCGAGTCAGGCAGGCTGGCCAGGTCGTCGTCGCTGTCGCCATCCTCATCACCAGACGACATGTCGGAGAACTCTGCGCCCTCCAGCTCCGAGCCGTCCGCCTCCTCTTTGTCGTCCCCACCAGACTCGCCCTCGTCATCACCTCCAACAACCTCCTCCTCTCCGTCTGCAGACTCCTCTCCACCGTCGCTCTCCTCCAGACCGCCGGCATCGCTTTCACTGTCGCTGTCATCCTCGCCCCCTGAGTCTGCCATGGCGTCCGCCAGCTGGGAGTAGTCGTACCCCGCGGCGCGGTCGGGGTCGGCCCCGATGCCCTCCTCGCCCCCCTCCTCCTCGCCCTCCAGGTAGGCATCGGCATCCTCCGAGTCGGCGTCGGACAGCAGCTCCTCCTCCTCCTCCCCCGCGCCCGCCGCCCGCGCCTTCCTGGCCGCGGCCGCCGCGCGCCGCCGCGCTACCCCCGCCAGGCTGTAGTACTTGAGGAAGAAGACGTCTTCCGGGGCCACGTCCGCCTCGGACAGTTGCCCAAAGTCGGGCGCCCCCGTCTCCGCGACCCCGGGCAAGGGCTGCATGGCCGACCCGCCGCGCGCGCGGCCGCCGGCCTTGGGCCGCCGCGCGATGAACTTGTCCAGGAAGGCTGCGGGGGTGAGGTCGCGGAGCGGGTCGCCGTCGTAGACCACCGACGTGCCCGCCAGCAGCGCGCGGGCCATGGCCGCCACCGAGGGGTGTACGTGGGATGCCAGGCAGTCCAGCTCCCAGAGGCAGGACGCGTCCGCGCCAGCGTACAGCGGGTCACTGGAAGGAGGTGTGGGATTTGAGGGATTAGCTTGGGGAAAGGGGGAATGGAGCAAAGATTGACAGTGAGGGTGCCATGCAGGGGGTTGCGAGGAGGGCAGTGGCGCATGCGCTTGGGGGGTGCTGTAGTCCTGGGCACGCCGCCGGATGGCGGGCGCAGAGGGGCGCAGAGCTGCTTGATGCGGCTGTTGCTCTGGCATGCAGCTGCCCTATTGCCAACAGTGAGCGCACCCCAGACCCGTGTCATTGACACCACAGTACCCGCCAGGGGTCCCCCAACCCCCAAACCCCACCCCCCCCGTCTCAGCCTGCTCACCGCTTCTGGGCGTCGTATCCGCCCTCTTTATCTGGCCAGCGTGGGGCCGCACCGGAATCCTCTTTCCTGACGGTGTGCGGCCTGGTGGGCTGGAACCCAGCCTCGCCGCCCTCATCGGCGTCCTTGAACTGCTCCAGATTGTCGCCGCTCTCCTCCGCTTGAAGCACTGCGCTCCACAGCCCCGGCCGACTCTGCATGATGGGGTTTGGCAAGGTGATGAGCAATGCTGCGGCACGGTGCTTGTGGGCGGGAGTCGGTGCTCGAGGGCAAAGAAAAGCCTCAGCCTTCTGCCTCGTAGTAGTCTCAGCAACATCCTCCGAGCCAATGCACCAGATGAGGCCCCTCTGCTCTGTTTGCCAGTCCGCACGTAAGCATACAAGCTCAGGGCTTGCGGGTTCCCGACCCTCTGGTCGCTCACCTTGAGAACCTCTGATACCAGGATGAGACATCCGCAGGCAAAGTTCGCAGGAGACTCCAGGGCAACCTGCAGCAGGCGCTTGGCAAAGGCACAGGTGCGCTTGTGGCTGACGTCCGCTTGCACGGCCGTGGGGGGGCAGGAGGTATGGACAGATGGAGGGGGACGTTTCAAGAGAACTATCCTGGACATCGTGTGGCGGGACGGGGTGGGGTGGAGACCCCTCCTTCCAGGCGAGCCAGCTCACCCCAGCCTCCAACCCGAGACCACACACCTTGAGCAGGAGGCTGAGGAACATTGGCGCCTTGCTGGACTTTGTGAGCTCCGAGCTGGACAGCACAGAGTACAGGCCCCTGCAAGCGACCAAGAGTAGGCAGGGCGCAGGGCTGATGTCACGGAAAGCAGGCCGTTGCACTGATGATGACGGTCCTGTAGAACCCTGGCACAATGTGCACACCCAGGCAGAATGCCTGGCTGGCCATGGCTTTCCCTGCATAACACAGGAACCGCTCCTGCATCCCGCTCACCTGTAGAAGCGGTCTGAAAGCGCATTCCTGCTGGACATGAGCTGGAAGAGGAGCAGCAAGGCCTGCGTGGCCACCCCAAAGGAGCGCGTGTGGATGAGCCGGAACAGCGCGTCTGCCGGGGGGTTGGGTGATGGGTATGGTGATGGGGCTCGGGAAGTGTGTGTAGGCTCCTAGTCCTCAAACCTGCACGCAGCAACGGCTGCACAGCCCTTACACCGCCTGCCATCCCCACTTCCTCCTTCCCTCCCCAATAAATGCACACCAATGGCAACTCGCACCTGCATGCTGCTGGATGAGGGGCTCCACCTCCTCGGCCGGGACAAAGGGGAAAGCACGGCGCACGCCCGTCAGCAGGGCCGACAGCATGCGCGCGTCTAGCTCCCCGGTCTGCCCAGTCAGCGCATCGGGTGCGCCGCCTTCCTTTCCCTCCCCCTTCCCGGCCTTGCTCTTGGGAGGGTGGGAGTGGGAGGACTTGCCCTTGCCGTGCTTTCCCCCCTTCCTCTTCTGGTGCTTGGCGCCGTGCTTGCCGCCATGCTTGCCGCCATGCTTGCCGTGCTGCACTGCAGCGCTCTCCTTATGGAGCTGAGGGATGAGGGCATGGAAGGAGGGATTCGTGTCAGCATGACAGAGGCAGAGGGGGGGGTGGTTTGTGCTATTTCGCAGTGGCCAAGCGATTTCAAAGCCCTCTCCTTCACCATGCACAGATATCAGCATCTCTGCCACAAAAAGGAGCAATCAGGTGGAACTCACTGTCGCAGCAGTACCAATTTTGCCGTCTAGAATCATGGAAAAGAGGGTGAAGTACACATCTATCAGGCGCCGGGCCAGGGCTGGGCCGCCTGTTCATATCGAGAAACGGGAGGAACGAAGTGGTATGGCTGGCGGTAGTTGGAGTGCCAGTTTGATACAGTGCCTGGTCACAGCACATTGGGGCTCCTGTCAGGCCACTCCTCCCTCAAAAATCAGGCGTGGACTACCTTGGGTACTGCTGTGACTCAGCACCATTTGATTCAGGTAGACAACGGCATAGTATCGGGCCCTGCATGGTGAGAGGGAAGGGGGCGCTTCAGCAGCCATGCCATGTGAGTGGTGACCCATCCAGGATCCTGCAGGGAGTCCTGGGCATATGTGCAGCCCACAGCAGTAACCACCCCAAGCCCTTTCTTGCCACCATAAAGACAAAGTCGGACCCCTCCCTTCACCGCGCCGCCGCACCTGTCCTGGAGGCCTGGGCGGAACATGAATCGCTCCACCTCCCGGACCACCACTACCTTCATCATGGGGTGTTCCGTCAGCAGGCGGGACAGGAGGAAGCCGACCTTGGAGGCCAGCTTCCGATCGGGATCGCCCAGCTTGTTGACCAGGGCGGAGAGCAGACGCTGCTCCTGCTCCGGTTTCTTGCTGCAGAGGGATGTCATTCAGGAGAAGGGGGTTTGGGATTGAGCCATCTATAATCTGTGGTGGGGGTCTGTAAGGCTGAGCAGGACACTTCTGGGGCAGCTGGTCTCCAGGAGGCACAGCAGCAGACAAAGTACCTCAAGAGCATTGTGTGGCACATCGGCAGGGATGCAGCCTCACAAACCACCATTTGCCAGCACGCGTCACATTCCCCCCAGCTCCTGCATATGAGCCCCCATGCTATGCTCCTGCCCCCCCCACGACCCTCATCGACACTCTAGGGAAAGCCATCCTTTCGGCGCCCCAGGCGCTCATCCAGTCTTCCACCTCTCCTCCTCTCCTATCCCCCCATTGCCCCCCCCCCCCTTCCTTCCTCACCCCCCTTCCTCCCTTCCACACACCTGAGCAGGTCGTACATGGCCTTCACGGACTTGTCCTTGACAAACTCCAGGTTGTCCTTGGACCCCTCCTCCAGGATGTCCACGAAGCGCGCATAGCGCTTCTTCACGCAGTCCTCGAAGTGGAGGTAGAGCAGCGCCAGATCGTCAGCCCTCACTCCCGGTGTCAGCGCGCCCAGGGACTGCTGCTCGAAGAAGCGCAGGCGCCGGTCCGGCAGCAGCACGGTGGCGAAGAGCTCGGCCAGCGCGTCCAGCGTGGCGCCCACCACCGCGCGCGCGCCGCCGCGCTTGGCCGCCATGCCCAGCAGCGTGTCCAGCGCCGCCAGCTCCGACAGCGCCTGGTCCTGCACCATGACCGAGGCCGCGGCCACGCGGTCGGATGTCGTGCCCGCGCGCCGCACCTGCTGCAGCCACTGCGCGTCGGTGCCCTGGCGCCGGCCCAGCGCAGCCGTCGCCGCGCCCTCCTCCGCCACCAGCAGCGCCTCGGCCGCCGCCTTGCGCTCGGGGATGAGGGCTGGGTCGGCCTCGCCCTCCGCCGCAGCCAGGCGGGCGGTGTGGAGGGCGGCCGCCTCCCACCACAGCGAGGGCTCGTCGCGGGGGAGGACGCTGCGGGCCGGGGCGGCTGCCGTGCCTGGAGCAGGAATGGGAGAGGAAGGTGGGCAGAGTGGGTAGGGATGAGGTGTGCGACAATGTCAGCGGAGGGGAGGATTGGACTTCTTGTCATATACACGATACCCAAGTATCCTGGGCCAAGGCCCAAGCTCAGAGCATCTTACGCACCCCACCGCCCACCGTTATGCTGCTGCTGCTGCTGTTGCTGATTGCGGCCCGGGGCAGGTGTGGGAAGCCTGGGAGCGCCAGTGTTGGACTTGCCAGCCGCTTGCCGCTTATCCGCGGGGCTGAAAGCAGGCTTACTCCCGGGCGTGGCCTTACTGGCAACAGCAGGGACCTCACGCGCCTTCGCTGTTGCCTTGGCCCCTGTGCCGGCCTCCTCCTTGGTGGGTGTCTTCGGCTTGACTGCCCTGCCTATGCGCTTTTTCGACTTTTTGGGATCAAAGTCAGAGAAGGCACCATCGCCACCACCGGCCCCTAGCCCCAGCTCGGCCGCAAACGCCCTGAGGTCGGCATTGAGGTCCCCCGTCTCCGCCATGCAGCCGTTCCGCCAAGACACAGTCGGGGGAAACTTACGCCCTCTGCATCAGGGACGGATAGTAACAGGAATCTAAACATGCATACTACTTGTGAGCGAGCTCGCCATCAGGATGGCTCTCCATAGCACTCCTGGCACCCCGGGCTATGCGCGAGTACCGGGCCAGCAGGCACAGCACGAGCATCGAGCCCGAAAAATATCCCAGGATTCTTACAAAGAATGAGCAAAGCGGTCGGGCGGGGCTGGCTTGATGATATCACGAACTCGAGTGAACTTTTATATTGTTTGTATTGTACAGACAACCCCCAAGTATCCCTTTGCTTTTGGTGAACCCTTCGGAGAGCCCTAGCTTTCGGGAGGTCCCGGGCGAGGACCATGGGCGTCGCCAGCGTGGCTGTAATGGACTCCGGTACCTTCTCGGTTCCGAGCCGAGCTGCGCTGAACGCACCGCGCCGTCGACGGCAGGCTCGGGGCTGGCTCGCGCCCGAGACGTTTGTGTTTGACAACCTCCCTCCGCACCAGAAGGACAACCAATACATCCGTCGCTACTACCGGGCCAATTATTCCTGGAAGCGGAGTCTGCTGAGCCTCTTCTCCCTGCACAACGAGACGGGAAACATATGGACACACCTCATCGGTGCGCGCGGAAGGGGTGTTGGCGCAGGGTGTGGGAGGAGTCGATTGGAATGCGGCTCATGAAAACAGCCTACGAAGATATGGTCTGCGCACTGTCACCACCCTACTCTAAAATCAAGCTCGACCCTTGCCTTTGCACCCACTTTCCACCCCCTTGTCCAGGCGTGGTCATCTTCGTCTGCCTGATCTGCGCCACGGTCAGGGTCGCCCCCGAGCCCCTGGCCCTGGGCAGCAGCGCCCTGTCCAAGCTCGAGCAGCGGCTGTACGCATATGGCAAGACCAACCTGTACGAGCTGCTGGAGACGGTGGAGTCGTGGGAGGCCAAGGTGCTCAAGGTCGGCTCCTCCGGTCTGGGGTCCATCGAGGAGCGGTTGGGCTCCTTTGGCCTGCACAACCTGCACGACCTGGTGGAGTTCCAGGAGACACTGCGCCGGTATGGAAAGCGCGGGGTCAAGGAGCTGTCTGGCTTTGGGCGCCTCATCCGGTGAGCGCTGGGTTCATGGTGTTCCTGGGTGAGGTGTTTGGGGTAACCATGGGGCGAGCTTCCTTGCCTCCTTTTTCAGCTGGGGCCCACCCAGCGACTGGGAGTGCAGGCATCGAGTAGATGCATCCCTGGGAGAGAGTGGAAGAGTGCCGCTCCCCACCCATGAACCCCGTGCCGGAGGCCCGCCTGCCCCTGCCGCCCTGCACCCATGTCCCATGCCCGCGCAGTTCCAGTTCATTCCTTGTTCACCCCGCCCTGGCAACGGTACCACCCCACAGGCGCTTCTCCCGCAGCGGCATGGAGGAGCTGGCCAGCATGGAGCAGCGCCTGGTGGGCCTGGGCCCGCGCGCCCTGGCCGACGCCGACGAGGCGGTCCAGCGCGCCCTGGCGGCGGTGCTGGACACGCAGTGGCCCGCACGGCGCTGGCCCGTCTACGTTTTCATGGCCGGCGCGGTGGTGTGCCTGGCCACCTCCTCCCTCTGCCACCTCTTCGGCTGCTGCGCGGCCCACGTCTCCACCCGCATCTGGCGCCTGGACTACGCCGGCATCGCCGTGCTCACCGTCACCTCCTTCTACCCGCCCGTCTACTACGGCTTCATGTGCGCGCCGGCCACGCGCGCCGCCTACCTCGCGGCCTCCACGGGCCTGGGCCTGGCCGCGCTGGCCGTCACGCTGCTCCCCTTCTTCCAGCGACCCAGCTATCACCGCGTGCGTGCCGCCACCTTTGCCGCGCTGGGGCTGTGGGGAGTGGTGCCCCTGCTCCACGCCTCGCTGCTCAACGCGGGTGTGAAAGAGGTGCAGGCCGCCATCACCCTGGACGTCGTCATGGGCGTCATCTACCTGGTAGGGTGGTCTGGGTGGGTGTCTGCTGGGAGGGTTGAGAGAGGGGGGTTGCTCCCTTGATATCTTGGAATGCAGGCCGGGTTATGTTGCGCGGGGTGCCGGTGTGCATGAGCATAGGGTGTTGGGATGTCCTCTTCCCCAGGGGGCACCGTCTGTCCAAAAGCTCTGCAGCGGGGTGCCCGGGTCCCAGATTCACAGCGCAGCGCACCCAAACCTCCCCCAAACCCCTCTGAACCCCCCACCACTCACCAACCTTGCACAGGCCGGCGCCGCGCTGTACGCGGCCCGAGTCCCTGAGCGTTGGTGGCCTGGCGCGTTTGACATGGTCGGGCACAGCCACCAGATCTTCCACATCGCGGTGGTGGTTGCGGCCTGCGTGCACTACCGCGCCACCCGCATCCTCATGCACTGGCGCGAGACCACGGGCGGCTGCGGGCCGGGGGGGCTGTCGCCGGTCAGCTGATTTGATGGGGCATCGGCCCGATTGAGCTCGGGTGAGCCCTGAGCAGATACCACACCCTCTGAACACAGACGACTGGGCGTCCCCAGCGCTCGCTGGGCACCGCAAGGCGCTGCGAGCTGAGGCTTGCCACTGAGACAGCATGATGCCGGGGCTCACAGCGTCCTTTCTGCCCTGCGTCCGGGCTCTGCCGGATGCGGTAAAGAATTCACTCTGGGCCCCTGCCCCACCCATGTTCCGGCCACAGGGTCAGAACGACTCCAGTCCATTCTCATCGCACCCCTTCCTTCTCAATCTCCCGTTCAGCTTGACAGCCCACCACTGTTTTTGCCGCCATAAGCGGCCTCAATGCCCGGCCGGGCGAGGTCCACTGTTGTCCACTCCAACCCCTTTTGGTGGGGGACCCCTCTTCCCCTCCCCTCTTGCCATGCGCGCCCTGCAGGTGCACTATTCCCTTCCCTGACCCAGCACGGAGACTTGTTATACACAGTGACGATTGTCCAGAGCCCCAGGCAAAAGAAGTGATGCTCCTCAATAAGTGGGAGAGGAGGCCTCGGGGGAGGCCAGCATGCCTGCCGCCGCCGCTGCCGCGGCCCTCCGCCGCCCCCGCCTGCTGTCTGGTTGCACGCGCTGGCCCTCTGGGATGACGTAATCGGAGCTGGGGACCACGCTGACCAGCTTGCGGCGCGCGTTGCGGTCGAACACCACGACGCCGTCGATGAGGGAGTAGAGCGTGTAGTCCTTGCCCAGGCCCACATTCTTCCCGGGGTGCACCTGTGTGGGCATGGGGCAGTGGCCGGTGAGCAAGGTGCCGCGCGCATGCAATGCAGGGTGCCACGGACTCACGTGACCCATTGGGGGGAAGGAAACAGGTAATGAGGCCCTGTGGCGCCACCAATCCACCAATCCACAGCACAGGGGTTCTGCGGCTCAACCCCCCCTTTCCTCCCATCACAGAGCCCCAGAACGCAGACCTGCCCACACCTTGGTTCCGAGCTGGCGAATGATGATGGCCCCCGCCCCGATGGCCTGCCCGCCGTACACCTTGACGCCACGCCGCTTGGACACGGAGTCCCTGCCGTTCTTCGTGGAGCCAGCTCCCTTCTTGTGTGCCGCCTCGATGGTCATGGGGATCGGCACAAAGGGAGTCACACGCAACGAAGCCTTCTGGTACATGGACACGGCGGGCCGGCGGGGGCACGTGGTCCCGAAGAAGGAGGTTCCTAGGAGCCCCTGCATCGCGCCAGGTGCTCGAGTGCAGGTGCGCTACCGAGGTAAAGGAAAATCCTTAAAACCGACCTCCTGATGCCGGTCAAATTGTGGGAGCTATTTCAAGAGGTTCGTATGTGGTAAGAAGGACGGTACGCCACTAGACTGGGAGCGCTCCTCCAGTTCTTGATAAGATCAAAGACCACTTCCCGCCACCTGGCTGTGCCGGGTCCGGGCGCGGGCACGGGCTTCAAAACGAATCGACAGCAACAGCTGCGGGCGTGGCCGCGAATGCCGGCCTATGCTCCGCGGCAGTGCATGGTGTGTACCTAGCATCATATCCGCAAGTCGTTCCGCGCAGCTGCGACGACCCACATCCGGGATGGAGCCCGAGACGGGCGGGGCTCCCTCCGGGGCCGAGGCCCTGAGCGCTGGAGACCTCAGAAATATGCTCGGTCAGTGCTTGAAACTGGCCTCCGAGAACAAAATCACGGCCAAGAACACCTGGGGCCTCCCTCTCATCGAGCACCTGGATGACCTGATCAAGGCAGAGCCAGACAGCACAAACTTCCAGCGCGCCAGTGTCACCCTGGATGCCGGAGTCAAGATCTACGGCACCCGCGTGGACTCGGTGCACACGGAGACCTTCAAGATCTTGGGAGGCCTTGGGCGAGCTGCTGCGCCCGAGGAGGCCCTCGAAGGTCTGATGCTGGGAAGGGTCGAAGTTTGGCATGGCTGCTCCGCCGCAGACAATCTCAGCCCCCCAAGCCCTTTGCGATGGCTTCAGGAACTGCGTATCTATTCCAGACTGACCCCAAACACCCTGCAGATGGCGCCCAGGGAGAGGACGGTGTGGGCGAGGGCGCGATGAGCCGACGACGCAAGGTCTTGGCTCTGGATCAGAATGCCACCCTGGAGTCCAGCCCGGACGCTCTGAATCTCAAGCAGTTCGACCTGGCTTTCGATGTAGACCCCCTGTTCCAACAAACGTCTGCACAGTTTGACGAGGGCGGCGCCCAAGGTGCAGAGCGTGGGGGCAGGTCCATGGGCATCGTGACTTGGATGGGTGCGGTGGCTTACCCCTGCTTCCCCCTTGTCCGCCTGTACCTGGTGTCCGCACCGCCTTGATCCCCTTCCCCAACCATACCACACCCCAGGCCTCCTGCTGAACACCTTTGGGGTGTTCCGTGGGTGTGAGGTCATGTTCGACTCCAGCGAGGTCCCGGAGCAGGCGCTGGCGCCCCTTGACCCAGGGCCGCCACAGCAGGTGTGTTTCTTTCTGGGGGAGAGTCAGGCGGGTCCGACCTGCACATTGCCCTGCCCTCCTTCTAGCCAGTGGCTCTCGACGGAACTCCCACGCCTGGGGCCCGCAGCTCGACCTGTCTGGGCTAGAGCCGGCCCTGGCAGCCTGGCGGGACGAGCTGGCCCGGCTTGGCCCCAGCTTGCTGGCCGCGCCCCTCTGCCCCAGCCTGGCTCGGATCCAGGAGCTGGCGGGGGAGCCGGCGGCGCCGGCCCCCCAGGCCGCCGCGGAGGCAGAAGCCCTGGTGGCGAGCGCGCTCCGGCCCGAAGCCTCGGGCGACGCCCAGGGTCCCCAGCCGGCCGCATCCGCGGCGTCCTGCGCAGGGGCCACTGACGACGCCATGGCCTATCACGACGACGCCGACACGCAGGGAGTTTACGACGGGCACGATGGTGCGTCCCGGACGAGGAGAAGGGGAAGGGGCGTTTTGTTGTCTTCATGGCCGGGATGAGTGGCGCACTGTAGTGTTCCGGCCTTACATCTCCGAGTCTTGTTGTGTTCCAAAACGTCCTCTCCCTCCTGATCCCATCCTTGGTCAGACGGTGATCACGGTGGGGACGGGGGCGGCTACGATTCCGACAGCGCAGCCAGCGAGGCTGGGGCGGTGCACGTCGACCCCGAGCCCGGTCACACCGGGGGAGAGGGCCTCGCCCCCGAGGCGCTGCACTGGCTACTGCACGGCGGCGGTCCCGGGGCCGAGGGCGGACCCGTGCCCTCCGGCCTGCCCAGCGGGACGAGCAAGGGGTGGGCGGGGGCAACGCACTGGAGGTTCCGGCCTGGCGCCGGGGCTGCTGCGGAAAGCGCGGCGGGCGGGGGCGGGGAGGTGGACCGGGGGCCGCGGAAGGAGCGGAGGGCCGCCTCGGGGTGAGCTCGAGCGCGATGAGTTGGTCTGGGGATGCCAAGGGGGAGTGGCTGGGCGGGAGGAAGGTTTCACCCGGCCCAGGACGTGTCGCCACGACACCCCAGCCATGGCATGGTCCCCCTTTCACCCACAAAACCTGGTCCAGGAGGAGCGAACCCCTGGACTTTGTGAGCCTGATGGCGGCCGGCCCGGCCCCCACCTTTGCCATGCTGACGGCCGAGAAGAAGGTGCCGGCGCGGAGATCGGCCAAGAAGGCGGATGCCCAGCGCCTGCTGCTTCCTGAAGACTATCACTGCAAGGTGGGGCAGTCGGCACGGCGATTGAAAGAACACTCACGGGAAAGAAACAGCAAGCGGAAAGGGGAGGTGCCCAGCCGCAGGGTGCTGAAGGCACTCGCCCGCCTGGAGAACACTGAAACGTCACAGTCCCCACTCTCGATGGTGACCGATGCATCACATGTTCCTCTGACGCAGGCCGAGATGATGTTCCACTACGCGCTCCAACCCCGCACCCTCCTGCTCTCCGGCCTGGGTGCGGGGCTGGGCCAGGGTGGCGAGGAGGAGCAGGGGCTCCAGGAGTGGGCCGACCTCGGGCAGGGTGGCGCCGAGGACGACGACGACGACGACGGGCCTGGCGACTTTGGCGGCTGGGAGCCGGCAGGCGGTGAGTGCTCGAAGAGGGGGGGTGGAGAGTAATAGACAGGCCTTGCTGACTTGCTATGAAACAGGCTGCCCGGGGCCAGCACAGGCCATGAACACTGCCTTGCGCTGCAACGTGCAAGTTGCTCCTCTCAGCTCCCAGCCTTCCTTCCCACTGGAACAGCCGACGCTGACGGGGCGACGCTGGAGCTGGTGCAGGCCGCCCGACAGGTGGAGAAGGTGGACATCCAGTATGCACGAGCCGCCAAGCACGTGAGACGGGGCTCCTGGGTGGACCAAGCTCCCTCCAGCAGTGCTTGATTTGATATCGGAGGTAGCGACGATGCAAGGGCTTCACACCTCACAGTCGTCCGCCCTCCAGCTCCTCGGAGTCTGTGTCCCGAGTGTCTCTCTGTCTCAGCTCCCAGCCCCATTGCCCTTCCCAGCATGCCCCTCATTCTCCCTGCCCTTTCTGACCCCACCCCGACCCTCTCGCCCTGCCGCCCTCCCTCCCCTGCCCAGGTGGACGTCCGTGCCCTGAAGGAGCTCATGTGGGGCGGTCTGCAGCGCCAGCTGGCAGCCGGCCACGGCGCCTCGCCGGACCGCCCTGCCCAGCTCCAGGCCCTGCTGAGCGAGGTGCCGCAGGAGTCTGCAGCGGGCCCGGCGGCCGACATCTCCGTCCACCTCTGCTTCATCTGCGTCCTGCACCTTGCCAACGAACACGGGCTGGCGATTCGGGGGGTCCCCACCCTGGACCGGCTGATGGTGCACGGCACCCGCCCGACGGCGGCGGCCTGACGAAGAGCGCATGGCCGATTCGTGGTGGGGCCGTGTCTTTTTGGTGAGGGCCCTGCCATGCATGACCCTGACGAATCTGGACGCCCTGTTGATCCCCTGCCAGAGATGAGCCCCGCCCCTCATTCCATCTCCCTTGGCCACCTCTCTTCACCATAATCACGACGCTGTACAGCCGCCCAAGCGCACGCAGCCTCACTTCCGGCCGTAGCCATAGGTGTTGTGGTAGCCGCGGCCAGGCCCCGGGGCCTGCTGCGCGGCCAGGACCTGCCGCTGCCGCGCTGACTCAGCGGCCTCCCGCTCCAGCCGCTCCGCGCGCAGTGCCACCAGGAGGTCCGCCTGCGCCGCCGCATACGCAGCCTCCCCGTCCCCCCGATCCTCATCACGCCTGCGGTGTTTCTTGCCGGCCTTGGGCTCCTTTTTCCTCCTTTTACCCGAGCGCCTGAGGGACTGAGGCCGAGGGAACTCGCTCCCTTCCCCTCCCCTAGATCTCGGCTCCGCGCTGTGATCCTCTGCAATGAGCTCCTCATGACTCCTCCCCAGAGCCTGCAGCGCAGTCGCCTGCCAGGTCTGGAGATCGGCAGATGGTACGCCCCCGCGGGGAGGCTCTGCACCTCCCTTGGTGTACCTGGGAAGGCAAGGGCACGGACGGTGAGCGCTGGGCCCCATGAACAGTCTATCCTTGACCATGCACGGCCGTGGTACAGCATGCCACCCAAGCCCCCGCCACGCCTCACCATGGCTGGGAGCTGGAGCCGGTCAGACCATGGGCAAATTTGAAGCGCTCATCAAACTTGGCATCCGACGTCTGGGTCTTCTGGTCGCCCCTGTTTGCCACCATTTTACGCTTCTCAGCCTGCAGAAGGGTGTGGAGATGAGGCCCTGGCAATCAGACCAAATCTAGGCTCAGTCCTGATGCCCCAGGCTTGACCTCTGCCTCACGCACCTCTACTTCTGGGTGCTTGGCCTGGGACATCTGCTCCTCCAGGGCAAAGAGATTGAAGCGCTCAGGGGGTGCTATAGCAGCTGATGGCACGAGTGCAGGACAAGGGAGTGCAGTTGCCCTGTCCTCTGTCGCCGGACCGCCCTGAAGTCGTTCACGATTGGAGGGTCCTGTACTTGGCGACCCGGTGTCCCCTCCGGCTAGTGGTCCACTACCACTTGCCTCGCCAGCACCTGGTCCCAAAGCATCCTGCGCCCCATCGTCTGGCTCCACCAGCGGCATCTGCATGGTTGGCAGTGTTGCACCTGATGTATTGTCGTATGACGAGCTGCCCTTCTCAGCAGAGACAGGTGTGCAGCTGCATCCCACCTCCAGCCGCCACGCTTTCCCATCTCACGCACCCCTTGCCGTTGCCGCGCCCGAGCCAGGAGCATGCGATGCCGGTAGCCTGCTTCTGCAGCCTGGTGTCGGGTAGTAGCCTCCTCTTGCTCTGCAGCATGCTTGGCTTCATCCTCGGCGACCTTGAGGCGGTTCTCCCTGCCATAAACGTTCCACCTCTTCTGAGGCAGGATGTTGAGTCCGCCTACAACAGCACAGGCGGGGAAAAGAGAATCTGGGTGTGATAGACAAGCCAGCGGTATTTTTCAAACATGGAGTGTCACCCATGTCCTCCGTACCATGTCCTCCCATCGGCAACGAGCTGCCCAAGCGGTCGCAGCGGGTCTATGAGAAGGCCCCGAGGCCTAATCCGGAGCCACCACCCATGCAATAGCACACATGAAGTACAGAAACATCTCGGTGGTTGATGAACTGTCTTCACTCGCCTTCCTACTCGTTCATGCAGCATTCTCTGAGATCGTGGGGCGCGAGAACTGGGAACCGGGAACTCGCGATCGACAGCCCGGAACGATATATTGGTGTCCTTCTGGGTGTCGTAATCCCCTGATCTTACTTCCTGATTGGCTGATTCCTTACCGTATACCTAATGAATTTTACCTGATCTTCCTGGGAGGGCTCTCTTGTAAACATGGAGGCGGTGATCGCGAGACTTGAGGCAGTGGCAACGCGTCTAGAGGCCACAGATGTAAGGATCGTCCTCCTTCGATCTGGATTTCATCCATCGAGCATGTCCTCATAATATTTATTTCCCTCCCACAGGGACGCTTGCGACAGTCTGGTGCATCCACAGCACACGCCGTCCCAGCCACTGTCTCAGTGCCACAAGGAGGATCGAAATCCGCTCCTATCACCCCGCCGACCTCAAAGTATCAGGATCAAGACTCCTTTTCTCAAGTGATCAGCGCAACAACCGCCTTCCTTGATGTGGCGGAACGTATCGGGGGAGAGGTGGGTGGCCTTTGTTTGCAAGGGATTGTGGTTGGACTCCTCCCAGCTGTCACAGCCCCCTGCCCACCGGATAGAGACATGACCAATACCGTTTCAGATCATCCCAGCCCGCATCCTTTGCCATTCTCTTCCAAGCTCAGGTTCTCCTGGCTTCGCGTACAATGGCAGCTGGTGTCCAGAGCGTCAGGAAAGTTCTCCCTGCATTCCAGGTGTGCCGTGCTCCCAGTGGCCCCGAGGAGCTGCAGCAGCTCCTTGCACCGGTAGCAACCCAGCTGGAAGCCGCAGGGAAGCTGGGATCGGGATCCCGCTCCCCATACCTCAATCACTTCAAGGTGGTGGGGGAGGCCGCCCAGGCGCTGTCCTGGGTCGCATACTCTGGCCCCAACTGCGGTGAGGAGGAGGGTAAGAGGGGGAGAAGTGGCTGCAATTGCCTGCTCTATAACCGGCATGGCGTTGAAGGTGTAATGGATGCCCTGCCTTACCACGAGCACAGGCATGCGCAGCCCCCCAGACCATGTGTCGGATGCCTTGCAGGCTGCCGAATTCTATGCAAACAAGGTGAGCTGTTTTGGGGTTGAGCTGATGGCCTGCTCTGGCTTCCCCCATGTCGTAAGAAATAGGCTGGAGCGGCTGCGCCGCCAATGCGTGTAATCCAAGGCCTCCTCCTCCCGTGTTCGCCCAGGTCCTCAAGGACTGGAGGCCCAAGGATGCCACGCACGGGGAGTGGGTAGCTGCACTCAAAGCCGTGCTGAAGGCCATGCAGGTGGGTCTGGATGCCTTGCGCGACTCTTGCTGTGGAGCACAACAGAATGTGCAGTGAGAATGTGGAAGGGGTTCATCGTCATTTGTTTTCAGAGTTTGTGTCGGCTCGTGGGCCCCCACACACTAGCTGACAATCACCACATCTTCCAGCCGAAACGCATTCGCGCCACTCCCCCATCATGTCAGGACTTTTGTGCGGCCGAGTACCCCAGGGGACCTGCCTGGAAGGAGGGCGGCCTGTCCGCCGCATGCTTCCTGCAGGGCGACAGTGGGGCGCCCTCCTCCACGCGGGCCCCCGCGGCGCAGCCTCCCTCTGCGCCGCCCGCCGCGGCCACCACCTCCCAGCCAGGCGCCGCGCAGCCTGCCAAGCGCGCCGGCCAGGTCCCGCGTGCTCCCCCGCCCCCTCCTCCTGGCCACCTGACCAAGCCCAGGGGAGGTCCCGCTGATGAGGAATCGAGGAAGGCCTCCGGCCCCACCGGCGTGGCTGCCCTCTTCGCCGACCTCAACCGCGGCACGGCCGTCACCGCCGGGCTGCGCAAGGTGACCGCCGACATGAAGACCAAGAACCGCCCGGCCCAGGAGGGCGCCGGGATCGCGGCACCCGCCAAGCCCCAAGCTGGCGCCGTCGCGGCGCCGCAGCGCGCGGCGCCCACCCCCGCGGCCCAGCCCCCACGCTTCGAGCTGGTGCAGGGGCAGAAGTGGGCCGTGGAGCACCAGGTCGGGGTGCCAGACCTGGTGGTGGCAGACACCGAGCCCAAGCACACCGTGTACGTGTACGGCTGCCGGAACTCCACAATACAGGTGTGTATGTTTGGGGGGAAGGGGGCCAAGCTGACAGGGTGTGGCGTGGCCAATGCCGGCAGTGCCCCTGCGACGCTTGAGACTGAACACGAGCACCGTCGCCCTCGCATGAAGCCTGGCCTGTGGTACTACCCTATCCCTCTGCAGACTTGAGCCTCCCATCCCCCTTCCCAATATCACCCAGGTCAAGGGCAAGGTGAACGCCATCTCCCTGGACAAGTGCTCGCGAGTGGGCCTGCTCTTCGACCGGGTGGTGGCGTCCGTGGAGCTCGTCAACTCCTCGTCCGTCGACGTCCAGTGCACGGGCGGGGTGCCCACGCTGGCCATCGACGCCTGCGACGGCGTGCAGGTGAAGAAAGGGGGGCGCGGGCAAGAATAGGGGGGGGTGCGTTCACGGAGAGGGGAGGTACCAATGAGGATCAGGATCGTGGTGCAGGGTTTTCAAACTGCGGCTTGGACGGAGATCGGCGGCGTCAGCACCCCAGCCCCAGCTTACCACACCGCATTCCCCCCCCTCTCCCCCCCACTCCAGCTCTACCTGCCGCGCTCGTCGCTGGACACGGATGTGACCACGGCGAAGAGCAGCGGCGTGAACATCATCGTGCTGGCGGGCGACGAGGACGGCGGCAAGGAGGCGGAGGGGCCCGCTGAGGCGGCGGTGCCGGAGCAGTTTGTGACGCGCTTCCGGGACGGCGCCTGGGTCACCACGCCTGTCAGCCACAGCGGCGCCTAGGGAGCCGCGATCCCCTTCCTAATCCTGCTCAGACCCTGGTTTCGAGCGCCCCTGGGCTGCCCTGTACACGACGATTCGGCCAGACAGGTGCAAGCGGGGCTGGGCGGTGCTGCTCAAAGGGCAGGCACACAACCTCCTCTTCATCTGCAGCCCCCTGCTCTGCCATTGCATGTTCCACACCAGCCTTCCTTTACAGCAGCCGCGTCAGAGGTCCATGGGCGCAGGGCCGTCGCCGCCCTCCCCCGGCGCAGCGTCGCCTGCGTCGCCGCCGTCGCCGCCCACGGCCTCGGCGCCCTCGACCTCGTTCTCCTCCTCCAGCACTGCGGGGATCAAGGGGGCACAGGGCGGTTTGTAGATTGATGGTGTGTGCGTTGGCTGCAATGCCCATGGCTGACGCCGTCGCCAGCTCGATTCGGGGTTGGCCTGCATCTGCGGGCCCGCCACACCTCCTCACACCAGGCCCCAAAGCAGGCTGCGATGCCACTGGCCATCGCCCCAGGCCCATCAATGACACTCAACCCCCCGCGAGCCCCCGCAAGACCGCCCACCTGCAATGTATGGCTCCAGGGTGGCCTCCTCCAGGAGGGTGAAGGGCACGTCCCGCCCCACAATGGCCACCGTGCAATTCTTGGAGGTGAGGTCGCCATCCTGGGAGGAAAGGGAGGGGCAGGAGGCCGGCTGAGTGCAGATGGACCGGACAACACCGGGTTGGCCCTAGAAGCAGTCAGAGAACTCCTGGCTTGGCATGGCGTGGCCACCCACTCTGCACCACGCGCGATCAGGGCGTCTGCACCACTCAGCCAGCCGCGGCATGACATCCAAGGTCGCCAGCCGACAATCCTCTGGTCCATACCTGCAGGGTGGCCTGCAGGGCCAGCAGCGCATGGCGTACAAGCTCATCCACGCTGGCGTCGGTGAAGGTCTCGAAGCTGCGCTCCATGTACGTCTTGGCGGCCTGGCGAGGGGAGGCGGGGGAGAAAAAGCAGGGGCTCAAGACCGTTGCCTTGTTCATGCTGATCCAACAGGTGCTCTACCCGTCCAAATCCCCACAAGTTCACACCCTGACAGGCAGCACCTGAGATCGGGCGCCCATGGCAAAGGCCCTGTAGTCATAGTAATTGCCCGATGGACAGTTGTAGAAGATGTGAGGACCTGCAAGGGGGGGAGGACAAGGAGCTGCATTAGCGTCCGTTACCTTGCCCAGCAATGCGGTTTGATTCAGAGGCCAGGTGGAGGTTGCAATGCTTGAGCCTTCACTGAGCAGGAACTCAAGGGCCCACATATATGCGCCTCCCCATCTCACCTGACTCGTCGACCCCCGCCACAATGAGCCCAACACCATATGGCCGCTTCCATGACCTCTGCGTCCCCACCTGTTGGAGAAAGCGGAGGACAGTTTGTTGATCATGTGTGAACCCATCCCTGTGCCCTGCAGCAGTGGGGCCTGACACCTGTCGCCCCCGCCTGATTAGAGCCAAGGTGCATACTTGCAATGTCCCATACACGTTCTCATCCTTCCAAGCAAGAGTGTTATGTTTGTCAATGATACCACAGTGCGCCCACATCAGACCTTCCCCTACCTGAGCCTTGTCAGCCAGTTGGCGGACCAGACGGCCCAGCGGCATGGGTGAATCAAACACAAATCTGGGATGTTTGGGCGAGGGGACCTCAGAAGCACGAAGAAAGCAAAATCGACATTGCACTAGCATCCTGCAAGGCCCACGATCTGAGTCTTCCACTCTTTGCTCCAGCTTCATGTCCCCCCATCATTCAATCTTACCTGTGATTCAGGCACTCGTTCCGCATGTACCGGCACAAGATACGACCATCAGCTGTGAGCCCCGAGATGGCAATCCCCATGTGGTCATCAATCTGAGGAGGAAGACGAGTTGTGGAGGACTGAGGTTCAGGCATCACAGGAGAGGGGCACCTTGAGGAGCAAGCAAACAGGAAAATGTCAGACTCTCCGCTCCTACTCCCCACCTTGAACACTTTGCGCTGGTAGGAGGAGAGCTCAGAGGGCGCCCTCTTCAGAGTGGCCATCACAGCCACATCTTTGCTCTGTTGCAGCATGGTAAATGGGAAGTCGCTGGTACTTGCAGGCTAGTTATGGTGCGACGGCGGCATGCAGATAACGACACCTGCCTCGACATTCCTACTTGTTGATGGTAGGCCCCAGATCAGGGCACCTCCCACCTTGAGGCCGACCGCTGCAGACCCCTGCTTCACCGCCTCCATGGCATACTCGATCTGGAAAATACGCCCTTGCGGGCTCCATGTTACCACATCCGTGTCGTACTGCGTGAGGGAGGATGCGCAGCGTGAGGGTGAGGTGATCGTGCTGTGTCAGGTGTCGGGTCTGAGCAATTGGGCAGGTCTTTGCACACCTGATTCCTGAACATCCTGCAGGTCTAAAAAATCCTCAGAGATCCTAAAGTGAAGTAAGACAGGAGTCGGGCCCCGTCCTGCGGAGGACCCACTCCGATCACAAGCAGGAGCCTGGCAGGCCTTCCCAAATGAATGCGGTAATCGCAGGTGGATGGTGCCAACCACAATTGCAGTTCCACGGATCATGTTCCACTTGCTAGGACGGTCGTGTTAAGCCCGACGGTGGAGCCCGGCCGGTGAGACTTGCGATCAGCGTGTTTTGCATGCTGTCGGAGAGCTCCAAGGGGTCACCTGCAGGTCAATTCTACACAGCCTCTCACTTGCAGCGTTGCAGACGAAAGTTATGCTCAAAGGTACAGGAATCCCGGTTTCAAGCAAGTTCAGCACAACAGCGACGCTCGCTTGCTGGCTTTGTTGGCATGGCGCTCCGCCGCTCGTTGCAAGCCTGCGCGCAGCTGCCCCGGCACAACCCTGGCCAGGGTCTGGGACGCGGTCGTCAGGGCCGTCTCGGCCACGATCCCGGCAGCGGTCCCCACGGGAACCACTTCAAGGCCCGGCGGCGCCAGACCCCGCAGCGCAGCAATAGCCCTGGCCTCCGTCTGACTGGCGGCTGCCTCGCGGCAATGCGCCACCATACCGCCAATCTCCTGCTGGTACAGCACCTCGGCGGCCTCGGTCAGCACCGAGTGTGGGTTGGGGGTCGGTTGTGGGGGAGGGGTCTGCCCCGACGCTGATGAGTCGGCGCCTGCTGCATCGGAGCTTGCATCGGCTGTACTGCCTCCAACCAGCTGTTCTGCCACGGCTGGGATCAGGGAGAGGCAGATGCTTTGGAAAGAGGAGAGTGCATGACAGCACAGGCTTGTACCCTGTTCAAGGATCAAGAGGGCAGGCATTCCAGAATTATATTCCCTCACGCCTTCAGACTGTACGGCCGAGCCAGGCTACCTGCCAAGCGCTCATCCAGTGAGGCCAGGGCGGCAGCGCAGCACGCGTTGCCCACCTCCTCTGCCACAGCCAGTCCGATGACATCAGCTGCAAAGCCTACCACCTCCTTGAGCTTCACCTGATGCAGGGGTATGCAAGGTATGTCTGTATGTGAGAGGGATTCCTTCTTTGGGCAGAGTCTGTCACCGCACAGCTGTCTGGCATTTTCAGGAGACGGGCCGGCAGTTGGCCCGTCTCCCCATCGGCCGCATGAAAACCCTTCCCTCCCCTATTCAAGCGCCTTTCTTGGCAAGTGCACCTGCAGGCTCCCCATGCCGACCTCCTGTTGGCTCACTCACCACATGGTCCTCGGTGGAGTACTGGTCCAGGAAGCTTCGCTGAAGCTGCGCAAGAATGGGGTCCTTTACCGGGGCCGCCGGCACGCCAGGCGGCACAGCATGGAGCATGGTCTGCATGGATGGAAAGGGTGAGTCCCTTGTCAGCAGGACAAGCAGAGGTTTGCCTGGCATCCCGGCTTGGCCTGCGGCGCTGCTGGTTCGAGCACACCCTTCCCAAGTCCATCCCAGCCCCTTCCGTTCCCCCGACCTGCGCTCCGTCTAGCACCCGCCGCGGTGCCGTCGGGGTGATCTTCCTCGCGGCCCGCGACGGCGCCCCCGCCGAGTCGCCACGCTGACTCAGCAGGCGCTGGCACCGCTCCGCCCCGGGGCAGCACAGGGCCAGCAGGCGTGGGTCTGCCGTTCTGGCCATTGCCGCACCGGCCGCGGGCTCCGGCAGGAAGCTCGCACGCGGTCCCGGCACGGCGTCGAGGCCGGCCGCCGCGCCCCGATCTGGAGGACCGACGCCCTGCCCATCCACCTCGCGCCGTGCGTTCCCGCCCCCCCCGCCGGGCCAGAGCGGGCAGTGCGCCGCAAAGGCGTCCAGCACCCCCCTCAGGCACCGCGCGGCGGGGCCGAACCGCACGTCCCCAGGCAAGAGCTTCGGGGAAGCCGCCAAGCGCGCCAGCAGGCGCAGCGCGGCGCGGTAGTGCGGCGCGGCGCGCGCCTCTCCGTCCCAGGCCAGGAACCAGAGGTAGCGCGTCACCCAGGGCAGCGTGGCGGGGAGGAGGGCCGGGTCCGCGCAGGCCGCCGCCAGCGGCGTCAGCAGGTCCACGCCGTGGGGCGGAGGCGGAGGCGAGCGGGGGGTGACGGTGGTCACGGGGTCGCCGCCGGGACTCGCCTCGGACTCCTCACCAGGCCAGCACCCGCCCTCCCCCGCCGCCCCAACCGCAAACGTCATGAGCGAGAGGAAGGCGGCGAGGCTGGCGGCCGCCACGGCCTGCTCCGCGGCCGCCGGCCCCGCATCGCCCGCGCAGCCCCCGCGCCGGCCGCCGCCGCGCTCGGTCAGCGCGCGCAGGCGCGCGCGCATGCAGGCCGCCAGGCAGGCGACGAAGCGCGCGCTGTCGGCTGCCAGCAGGACGAGGCAGTACAGGCGCTGCGCGCGCGGGAACTCGGCCGCCAGGCGCAGCGCGGAGGCCAGCGACTCCTCGCCGCCCTCTGCGCCGGCGGCGGGCGGCGGCCCGGCCCCTGCCGTGCCGCGTCGCGCGAAGCCGGGTGCGGCGTGCTGCGGCCCGGGTCGCGCGCGGCGCGGCCCCGCCGCGCCCGACCCCGGGCCGTGCATGCGCCGGTTGAGGCGCTCGAAGCGCGGCACATCGCGCGAGGCCAGGTCCGCCAGGTCGCCGTCCAGCAGCGCTTCGCCCGTGGCCGCCGAGCCCAGCACTGCGGCGGTGAAGAGGGCGGCCAGGAAGGGGAGGTTGTCGGGGCGCAGGCGGCGCAGCAGGTCGGTGCTGGCGGACTGCAGGGAGGCCCACACCACGGCCTCGCCGTGCAGGTCTGGGGCGGAGGAGGAGGGGATAGGGGGGGTGGGGGGCCGGGGGGTGGATGTGAGGGGTGGAGCAGGGTTGACGGGAAGGAGCACATGTTAAGGGCAAAGCTTATTGGGAGCGGAGACATGAAACAAGCCATGCCCGGCGCAGGGCTATGGAAGAGGCATCACTGGTTGTCCGTGAACACCTAATGAGATGTGTCACACGCCAGGGCGGCACCGTTCGATTCAGCACGCCTCCAGCCGCTGCACCAGGAAATCAGCTGCTGCCCAAGCAACAGGCCTCCCCCCACCATCCCAGACTCCCAGCCAATGCCACCTGTCTCACCCGCGCCGTCACTGCTGAGCGAGGCGGTCTCCAGGCAGGCACTGGGCGCGCCGCTCCACCGCCCCAGCGACTGGAGCTGCATGGAGGCGTCCTTCAGCAGGCGCAGCAGTCCGTCCCGGCACGCCTCGCGGTTGGACACGCGCCGCTGCTCCTCCTGCCGGGTTGAAAGCGCGGGGTGTGAGGCAGGGCGCGAGGAGTGAGGGAGAAGACCGGCTGGGAGCAGGCAGAGTGCCTGCGCCGCCTGGGAGCCCGCGGGCGTCATGCATACACACACACCCCAGCCACTACACCGCCTCACAGGGGTCCGAGTGCTGAGCGTGGCATCGCTGTTGCCCATGGGCAGGCCCAGCAGGCTCAGCAGCCCCGGCTTCACCATCTCGTATGCCTTGGCTGCAGCCGGTGGTGGGTTTGGGATGCTGAGGGGTCTTTCTCGAGGGGCTTCAGCAGGTTGATGTTTATGAGAGTGGTTTGCGGTGGGGCCCACTGCCAGCCACGCCTATTTCCTGCCACCCAGTGGCCACACAGGCCGCCCCCCTCGCCCCGTCTCCTAACCAACTCACTCCACCTACCGGTGTGCCAGGTGGCAGACGCGTCCCGGTCCAGCGCCCGCGCCACAGCCGCGGCCAGCTGGGGCTCCGCTGACAGCGCGGGGTGGGATCCCAGCGCGCTCAGCGTGTCGCGATCCAGCCCCTGCACCAGGTTGCCTGCGCGAGAAAGGACGGCGATCGCATACTCGTGCGCCAGTGAGCCGCGCCACAGCACGGTGACGGGGCGTAGCACCGGGTCCACCTCGCAGTCTGCTGCTACGGCCTGGGGCGCCGGGGGGGGTGTGGATGGTGGAGCGATTGGGAGAGGGTGACGTGGGTTGGGTGAAGATGGCCGGTGGTAAGCTGGAGATATTGGTGCTGATGAGAGACACTGCAAACATCCGGTCGTCTGGCCCCGCTGTTCTATTCACTCCCTTCAGAAAAGACAAACCCTGGCGCACCGCACCAGCAGGTTGCACAGGAACTCCAGCTCTCCCTCCAGCCTGCAATCGACGCAGGAAGAAAGCAGCGCGCCGTGCAGCGCGGCCAGCCTCCGGCCGGCATCAGACAGGGCGGCTGGCGGGCTAGGGGCCGGGGCCTCAGGTGGTGTGGTGCCGGGGGCGCTGCGCTGTGCACAGAGCGAGGGAGGCTCTACGGACGGGGTGCCCTGCGCGAGCGGGGACACGCCAGAGCTCTTCGCAGCGTTGGTAGCAGAGGTGGAAGCCGTGTCGTTAATGATTGCAGGGGCTGCCGGCTGTACCCTCCTCCTTGATAAGATATCTTTGGGAGGCTCCCCTGTTCCGGCGGAGATGCGGTTCGCTGGAACCCCAGTCAGGCGTCGCTCCAGGGGTTCCAGGCCTGCCGCCCGAGGCTCGGCCAGCCTGTTCGACGCAGAGGGGGCAACATCTGCTGCAGGACTACTGGCCCAGGCGTTATGCGGCGCCGGACCTGCGTGCCAAAGATTGAGACAATGCGCACATGGGCACCGGACTATGCAAGCGGGTGCTCAACATGTGAAGGCAGATGCACTGGGAGAGAGACATCCGCAGCATCCATTGAGTATTGTTTTCGATTCTTGAACTGAGCAATCATAAAGATAAATGTCGCAACTCCCCTCCAGAATACATTGATTCTGAGGTCAATACATGCCAAGGAGGAACTCCACACGCCCCCGGCAAGCTCACCTGTCGGGGTGGGCTTGGGGCTCCCTTGTTTGACCCAGGCAGAAGAGGCCTGCCCACTCACAAAAGCAGGGTCCACCTCTACCCTTTGCACTCTGGCAGGCAGTATCTTCCGGCGGGGCTCCTGCACAGGATGTATCAGATTGCCCAGGATCGGTACAATGGAGGGGGAATGCGGTCGATGTTGCAGTGGCATGTCCAGTGCATCGTTGGCAAACCGAGGCCCCATGCCATGTCTGAAGAGCAGATTTGGGGGGCAGATTTGACACGAATACACTCCCGGACAGCTGGAGTGTCGGGGCAGCCTCACAGACATGATCCCAAACCCTCACCGATTTGGGTTTATTCGTGGATGGAACATTACCCAATCGAGGGAACGCCTCAGAGTATCCAGCCGCACTGGTGGGAAGAGGCTGCTGCGGACCGGTGCTGGCTCGATGGTGTTTTGTGGGACTGCTGCCCCTGGCATGTTGCTGCCCAGCTGCTCCGATATTGACGCGCGAACTTTCATCCATGGCGTCTGAAGGGCCTGTGCCCTTCTTCTCTTGGACTTGACGCGCATGCTGTCGCTCAGCCGCGCCCAGCAGCAGCTCAGCCTGATCTCGAATGTGATTCAATACCTCGCGGCGGTATGCAGCAGGGTCAGTGGACCACGGGCATGGTGTGGGGGCACCACATCCAGATGATGGAGCCGCTGGGATGGTTTGTGACGCTTGAGTGAGCCATGCAATCAGGCTCCTATGGAGCTCGTCCTCAGCCAAGCAGAGGCTCAGCGGGGCAGCCATAACATGTTTCGATCGTGCTACATGTTCCCGATTGGCTTCCCATACGGGGTACAATGATTCGAGCCTCGTGCATCGCTCGTCGGGGGACTCCCGTTTCATTGTCTTCAAACCGGGAGCACCCTGGGCAGGGTTCAACATCGTGGCAGCTCCCCCTTTCTTCACGAAGGCGCCCGCCTCCAGGTGAAACGAGCGGTGGCGGTGGGGAAGGTATGTAAAGCGGACGTATGCTTATACTCTTACTACGATTTCTTATTTATCAGAATTCAACCTCGATTTCTTCCAAATCAAGGATGTTTTGACTGTAGTCTGGAGCGGGCCATAGCCCGCCGGCGTTTTCTCTTACGCTCCACTTTCCATCGCGTGCCCTTCTTGGCCTGGAGTATGAAGTCCTCCAGCACTTTTGTATGTATTAGCTCCCGAAGCTGAGCCTGGCTCGTCGTGTAGGTAAGAGGTCCATGGTTGGCCGGCGCAAGGGGGCAGTGACTCTGGTGTGTGCCATTGCAGTTTCTAATGCTGTGCAACCTCAAAACCGCCACGGTTGCGCACGTTTCGCTTTTGCTGCTACATAGACTGGGCTATCAGCACCTGCGGGGTGGGAATTTACACCGCTCAGGTCTAGAATGCTCCTCACACCAATGCTTGTTGCACTAAGCGCAGGAGCATTACCGAGCCGGCCCCTGGTCCCAAGGAGGCGTGTTTTCAGGAGCTCAAGTACCCCCTTAATGGTTTGGCACCCTTCCTGTATTCATAGTCTTGTTTCATAGTCTGTGAAGGAAATTTTCAAGGGCCTGCAGCACTGTTTGTGTAAAGTACATCCCCTTATTGGAAGCAAGATGACATATCAAGTAAGGGAGGTGTGGGAAAGTGTGATCAAGGAAAGAATGTGGGTGATGGAGTGGGTATGCGGTGAGATTGTGGACAGCAGGCTTGTTATTCCTGACTGGCCGGGCGGCCAGCAGAACCCACAAAACAGCACTGCCTCTGTGGATGGCCGAAGCAGGGTGCTAGGGAGTGAATGAGGTGGCAAGAAAGATGGCACGTTACGGGAGCAAAGGGCGGGGCATGGCAAGCGCGGACTCCCCTGAGACACTCCTCCCTGCCCTCTCAGCAAAGAGCCTGCTCCCCAAACGCGGTGCGTGGGTGGCGCCAGGTGTAGTAGATGGCGTGGCCGAGGGACCGCGTCGCATAGAAAGCGAGGAGGGACCACCACACAGACGTCAGCGTGCCGGGCAGCGTGCGCAGCACGCCCAGCGTCACTGCCAGGCCCACAACGTTGGAGATGGGCAGGTGGTCCAGCACGTTTGAGCCCACGCTGATCCCTGGCGGGTGGGTTAGGGGGAAAGGAGTGGGGTTCAGTAAGGACCGGCATGGGTGTGGGTGGTGGTTTCGAGTGAAAAAGGCAAGCGTCTCCCTTTCGTGGCAGATGATATCATCAGGTGCCTGGCTTGAAGCCAGTTGTGCGTGCCAGTGACTGTGTGTGCCAGTGCGCCTGCCATGCTCTGCCGGGCGTTCTCCCCATCAGCAAAGGCACATCTTCTCATCCTCCTCCCCACACCTACATCCTGTCTTCCTCTCCCCCCCCCTCTTTTTAGAAAAACCCACCATCCATAATCATCATGCAGGAGCAGAGCGCCAGGGCGGCCGCTGCCATGGGCCAGATGGCGCCCACCTGGGCGATGACCGCGAGGTCGGTGGTGAAGAGGGCCAGGCCGCGCTTGAAGACGGCCACCAGGGCCAGGGCCAGGGTCACGCCCAGTGCGGCGCCGCAGCCCAGCAGCAGGCGGGACCAGGCCTGACCGGCGCGGGGGATGCGCCGGTCCCGAGCGATCATGCTCTGGGCCGCCAGGGACAGGGTCTCGGGGACGTAGGACAGGAACCAGAAGATCTGCGTGAGTGTGGAGTTCAAGGGGGCTTGTGGGATTAGAGGGCATGAGCGGTGAGGTTCACAGACGGGGGCAAGTCTCAGACACCCATCAAGCCAGGTGCACACAATCACCAGCACTTCCTGTTGGATGATCAAGCGGTCGAGCCCACAGCCTACAGACCCCTCCAGTATGAACCCCGCCCCCAGCACCTGCATGGAGACCTGGTGCGCAGCCAGCCCGGTCACGCCGAGGCCGGTGGCGCTGACGGCCATGCTGAAGTACGCTGCCATGCCAAAGGCGGTACGCGTGATCATGGTGACAGCCACCTGAAGGGGAGAAGGGGGGGCAAAGCAGCCGGTGAGGTTTAGGGTTACAATGCCACGGAGGATGGCCTCTACGACCAGTCATGGACGTTGATAGAAGGTGGGAAGCCATCACAGGCCATCCATAAGCCACCCAGTACCTCTCCGCACCCGGCACATATGCATGCCCAACCTCTGACCTCACCTTTTGGAACTGGCGCAGAGCCGCGGCCTCTGGCCATCCCTGCGGTCGGGAGAGGATGGTGAGTCAGAGAGGGGGGCTGGCGAGACATGAGCCCAAAAGGAAGGGTGCACCAGGGCATCCCCTGCGCATGGAACTCATACATGGAAGGCAGACCCACGCCGGGATCTTGAGTTGCCAGCAGGCGCTGCATGCAAGCTAACACACTCTCCCGCCTGTGACTCTGCGGAGCCCCAATCCCCCCCCACCCCCCTCAACTCCCACCGCACCGTCCACCGGATTTTCAGGCGGCGGCTGTCGGTCTGGCCCCTGTGCCACAGGTACAGCATGAAGATTGCTGTGCTGAGCACCTGGGAGGCCGCCGTGGCGGCCGCCGCCCCGGCGACTCCCATGCCAAACCCGAAGATGAGCAGGATATCGCCTCCCAGGTTCAGCAGCCCTGCCCCCATGAACACAAGAAAGGGCGTCATGGTGTCCTGCTGGCCAAGGCACACGCCCATGGCCACGTTGCCGAGCATGACGGCTGGGGCCGCCAGCGCCCTGTTTGATTTCAGCGGGGATTGGGGATGGAAGTCGAGTAATGTGGGAAGTGGGGAGTTGCGTGGGAGATGGGCGACTTCATCCATCCGCACAGATCTTGCTCTATGACCTAGCAAGAACACGCATTGGCTATCCGGCGGAGCCTGCTCCCATCCAAGAAATTTGGACACCCTCTTCCATGCCAACCCACCACGGACCCACCTGAGCCGCAGGTAGGCAAGGGCGTGGGGCAGGACCTCCGCGTCAGCCCCCATCCTGGCCAGGATGGGCTGGCCCTGCGTCCACAGCGCGCCCAGCGCCAGGAAGCCAAATGCGACGGCCAGGGCCATGGTAGTCCCCACCAGGCGCTCCACCCGTGCCCTCGCCGCCTCGCGCTCGCGCTCGCTCAGGGCCGGGTCGAGGATGGAGTCTGCCGCCACGGCGTTGGTGGTGGCCACCCCCCAGGAAGGAGAAGATGGAGAAGACGGCGTTGAAGATGGCGGCGTTGGGACCCATGGCCGCCAGCTGGGCGGAGGAGACGTGGCCCACGCAGGCGGTGTCGATGAGGGACATGAGGGGGTCGGCCAGCACCATGCCCAGACCGGGGCCGGCAAAGGCCAGCACCTCCAGCAGGCGGGGGGGCAGCTGGAAGCGGGGCGGGGGGGTCCTGGGCGCCTCGGTCCCGTCCACCCCGGCAGGAGTCTCAAGGGGTGGTGTGTCGGCCACCGTGCTGGGCCACCCCGCGCTGCCGCCCGCCGCGGGCTGATCCAGAGCCAGCTCAGGCTCGACATCTGCCAGGACCAGGTCCGGGAAGGGCATGCCGGCCCCGGCCTCGGGTTCGAGGCTCGACCGGCAGCTGGGCGGAAGCCGACGCGGCGAGCGGCGGGGCCGGCCTGTGCCCCCATGCCACCTCCTCGACGGGGTGTTGGCGGGGTGGAAGCATTGGGATCGCACCATCATGGTCCGGACTGGAGCCATGCGCCGTGTGATGTCGGACATGGAGGGCTGTTGCGCGGTCAACAACTTGGCCGGAGGGCCTTGCGTCGCGACATGCGAGTGCATGCCTCGCGAGTACTGAGGTAGACTGCTGTCCAGGATCCAGTGTGCTACAAGTGTGCAGTCGTATCACCAAAGGGGGCAGAGTAATGTGTTTGCGGGTGCCGAGACTTTTGCCCCGCCAATGTAGCAGCTGTCGATGTAGTTTTGACTACGCGCTGCATTTGGGTGCCGCGGAGGTAGACGCTCCTGTCAATCTACAGACCGCCTTCTGCACTTCATTCATGTGCCTCATCACGTGGCCATCCAGCTCAACATCTAGTGCTCATTCCTCGATGCCCAGCTCCAGCATGAGGTCCCCCGGGTCTGGTATGGTGGCCGGAGCGGCCTCGCCAGCCTCACCGGCGCCCCGGCCCAGCAGGCGGCGCAGTGCCTCCCCTGCCGGCAGCGCCCCCCCGGGCTCGAACAGGTTTCTACGCAGCGCCTCGCCGGCGGCCCGCCCCGCCGGCTCGCCCTCCATGTGCCGCCGCCAGAGGCGCGCGCTCAGGCTCTGCGCGGCGAGGTAGCTGTAGTACGTCGCGCCGTAGCCGACCAGGTGCCCGAACCGCAGCTGCGGGTACACCGGGAGGTGGGGCCCCAGGTCGGCCAGCGGCGAGTGCCGGCCCAGCACCTCCGCCGTGGCCCCCGCCAGCCGTGCCTCGTCCGGCGGCCGGCTGCTGTGCATGGCCTGTGAGGGATGTGTGATGACGAAGGGGCCTTGCATCGCAGGGTCGTGGAGTTGCCAGACTCAAGCTTGGCGGCGGAACCAGACACCCAGGACCTCATCCTCACCCTTTCTAAAGCCCCACCTCCAGCACCTCCCCCTGGACAAACCTGGTCGAGGAGGCCAAGGTGCACCTGGTGCAGCGTGGTGAGCGCGGAGAAGGTGCGCCGCTGCGCCCGCTGCGCGCGCACCGCCGCCTCCAGCTCGGCGGCGGGGCGGTCCAGGAGCAGGGCCAGGCCCTGCACGTCGCGCGCATAGAGCTCGAACACGTGGCTGGGCACCTCCATCATGTCCAGCGGGCCCCGCGTGCCTGTCAGCGCGGGGGGGCGGAGGGGAGGGACGACGGGGTTGAGCGTGGCAGGGGCTAGCGAGGGGTCGAGATGCACACAGGGGTGCAACGTGACGGCGTGCGCTGTTAGTGCCTCCGATCCCATCGTCACATGCCCCGTCGCACGCTGAGCGCCATGGACACGCTCATGGCAAAACACAAGGGTGAACAAAGTCACGAGACCCCCCCCCTCCTCCTCATCCCCCTGGTTACCCGACAGGTGCTGGTGGCGCGTGCGGCTCAGGAGCGTGTGCAGGGCATGGCCCCACTCATGCAGCAGCAGCTCCAGCTGGGAGGGGTGCATCGCCTGGTCGGCCGGCAGGCTGGCCACCAGCGCCAGCACGGGCGTCTGTGGCCCGTCAAAGCAGGAGGGGGGTGGGTGGCGGTGTCATTGGAGTGTCCTGTGTTTCCTTCCCCCTCCTGGCTGACCCGCCCTGGCACGCGGCGATCCCTCTCACAAACCCCATCCTCGGAAAACATCACCCGAACTCCTCCCACCTGGACGGCATCGGTCCCGTGGCCCCGGCCGCAGCGCAGGACAAAGTGCGCGGCGCCCGGGAACTTCCCCGGCCGGGGCTGGAAGTCGAGGTAGACGGTGCCCAGCAGCGCGCCGTCCGCCTCGGAGACCCGCAGCTTGGCCAGGCCCGGCGCCCAGCCCTCCCCCGGTGACAGCGCGGCGTCCCGCACCCGCACGCCCATCAGGCGGGTCATCAGCCGGTCCAGGCCGCGCAGCGCCTGACGCGGCGAGCATGACAGCGCCCAGGCCGAGGCGGCGTCCTCCCGCTGCCGGTCCTGGGGCCGGGGGTGAGGGGTATCCAGGAACGTCGGCGCGGGGCCTTGGGTCGCGCCCGGGCCCCGATGCGGCGGGCTCTGGTCGCGCCATTGTATCTAGGACTCTTGCCCCAACATCATTTCCTCCCACTCTGAACCTGCCCCCCCCCCTTTCACACCAAACAACGACACCCACCCTGGCCAGGTTCTTGAAGTAAGCCACGTCCCAGGGGTCCAGCGGTGCACCGGGCGCCGGCCCGCCCCCGGCCAGGTGCCGGCGGGGCTCGGTGGCGTCGCGCATGACCACGAGCTGGGCCGCCTCCCGCGCGGCGGCGGGGGCCAGGCGCCGCCCCAGCGCCTCCAGGAAGCTTGAGGCGGCCGACGGCGCCTGCGCCAGGCTGAAGTCGGTGAGCTGGTAGGCGGCGAAGGAGTCGTGCCCCATCAGGCGCGCCGTGCTGCGCCGCACCTCCGCCAGCCGGCACACCAGTGCCAGGCTGGCGCGGGGCTGCCGCATCTGCGCCAGCCAGGCCTGCACAAGTGGATTTGAGGGGGGGGTGAGAGCGGGGGGTAAGAATGGCTTTTCCATGCAGGCCATGTGCAGGGAAGTGCCGCGCCCCCTCCCCTCCTCCCCCCTTCCTGGCACTCGCCTGTTTTCTGGCTTCGGCAGAGGGGGAGTGCCCCAGGATCAGGTTCAGGCTGGCGTCATCCGCCGCCACCGTGACCTGCGAGCCCCTGCGCGCCAGCACCCCCGTACCGCTGGGCAGGGTGCCGGGGACATCTGCTGGCAAAGGGCGCAGAGGAAGGGGAGAAGGTGGAGGTGAGTGACCTTCAGGCACTCGATGGCCTGGGCCAATAAAGCACCCAAGTTCAGGCCCCTCACGACGCCACTCCCCAGGCCAGGGAACAGGGTACACTGCTCAGCGGGCGCTGCCGGTGAAACAGATGTCACTGGCAGGACTGGGCCTTCACTCAGACTCCACCCCGGCACCTCCCAAAACAAAAACCAAACACCCTTTGCCCCAACCACAATCATACCTGCTAGGCTGGAGGGCAGGTCGAAGCCCTGGAGGGCGCCGGGGTCGACCAGGTTCTGCCCCAGCTCGTAGCCCAGGCTCTGGGCCTCCGCCGTGAGCCGCGCCATGCGGGCCTGGCCGCCGGCGTCCAGGTGCACCCCGTACCGCTCAAAGTCGCGAGCCAGGGAGAGGCCCACGGCCCGCGTCTCCGGCGGCCCTGCGCGCGCACCCGGCGCGCGCAGGGCCGATGAAAGCGCGGCATACATGCCGCGGTGAGTGTTGAGGCCCTGGACGTAGGAGCCGAGGGAAAGACAGGCCGCGGTGGCGGCCTGCCGCCAGGCTGGGTCTGTGTGCACGTTCCTGCAGAACTCCGCGGTGTCCAGCACCTGGCAGAGCTGCAGGGAGGTGGGGAGGAGGTGAGACGGCGGGGTGGCCGGCAGGCATGGGACTCGAGCTCCGTGCCTTGAGATACACGGCAGAGGCAGTGGGAACTCGAGGGTGGCAAAGCACGTTCGGGGGCCTGAATGGTATACACGCAGCTACCCTCTGCGATGGAGCATCCAGGAAGCTTGTGCAGCATGCACACGCCAATTCCAACGCCACACGCAAGCCCTCAACCAAGCACACCACACCGTGTCGGAGACATCGTCCAGGAGGCTGATGGTCTGCTCTGAGTGTGGGACGGTCACCACCTGCTGTACCAAGTCATTGCACCTGCAGGCAGGGACAAGCATGGGTCATGACTTGTGACGACCAAGGTCACCTCCCGGCACACACCTCCAACTCGTACAAGACCACCCATCCTAGATATGAGAACCCCTTACTTGTTCACTGTGTCACGTGCCAGAGTCTCCCAGTCCTTGGGACAGGCGACCAGGCCCATCCCCGCGAAGCCGGGGGAATGCAGCCATCTGACCAGGGCGAGTCGCGGGGTGCGAGGTGTGCCTGACACCAGCATCCCCACGCACTCAGCCCCAGCCGGTACAAGGGCAGCTCACTGCGTTGGATTATTAAAAATGAATAAATACATTGGTGTTGCATACCACGGAGTGGTAATGCGCTCGTCACATGTATAGGAGAGGGCTCACCATGCGCGACGCACCTCCCGACACCAGTTTTTCATCACACACAAGCCACGTTCCCCTAAGACTGCCATTGCGACAGAACATAATCCTAAAGTCATGTAATACAAGCTTACATTCGTAACCTCGCACTCTCCACCTGTATCGTCGGGAGTCTCACATGCTCATAGCATACTTCGGTGAGGGTCGTGGCGTCAGACCCAACGCTCACACAAGCGGTGCTATGACAATCGGCTGGTTCCCAAAGTATAACTCTCCAGATGCAATGAGTCACGAGCATCCAACAAGGGGCTTGCAGTTTTGCAGAGAAGTCCATCGCTGACTCTTCCGCACTATGGATTTTATGCAGCTGAATTGCGCGCGCGGGAGCGCCTCTCAAATCGGGTCAGGATAATCTCAGCCAAGCACTTCCGTGCAGTCTGGGTTACGTCTCGGCAGCATTAGGCAGAGAAGCACGGAAAGTAAAGTGACAAGCGTGAGCTTCTCGTCGGATACATAGAGTCGCACTGAAGACACCGTCTGCAATCCTCCTGATCACTGCCACTCTAGGCGACGCGGGGTGGGGATCCTATGTCGGCAGCACTCTCATTCCACCCGCTGTACCAGGGCGCCCAGTCTCGATTGGAGCCTCGCTTCTGCTTCAGGGGAGCTGTAGCTTCAAGAAGAGCCCCACTTTATCGCAAACGTGAGTTTACGCGGCGCATGGCGTGCATGCAGGCCGCACATGGGACTGCATGAGGTCGCCCCAAGACCAAATTAGCAACCTCATGCAGGGGTGGACATTGCCGCCGCCGCCATCGCAGCTCCCGCGAGCAACGTGGAGGATGTTGGACTCAAAGATGCCCCGCTTCGCTCCTTGTATCCCGAGGAGCCCTCCCGTCCCGAGCCTGTAAGCAGCAGTGACGCCGCTGCCGCTGTGAGAATGCCAGGCTCTGGCCTGCCTGCCCGAGGGACAGCCTTTCCACCAAGATCTCACATCAATTCACTTTCAACTCACCACAGGGCGCCCCCCGCCTCAAGGTGGCCATCGTGGGGGGGGGCCTGGCCGGGTTGTCCACGGCGGTGGAGCTCCTCGATCAGGGGTACGAGGTGGACATCTACGAGTCGCGGCCCTGGATCGGGGGAAAGGTGGCCAGCTTCAAGGACAAGGAGGGGAACCACATCGAGATGGGACTCCATGTCTTCTTTGGCTGCTACCATAACCTTTTCCGGTGGGGAGTACAGGTTGGGGTTGGCAGGATGGAGGATGGGCTCCGTGCATGCATACAAGGGTAACGTGAACGAAGGTGGCTTGGCCCCACCCGCAGCTTTTCCTGCTGCAATGATAAAAAGCATCCATGGCAACAGCCATGTCCTCGTGGACTTCGCACCCTGGCGTCAAAGCTTGGTTGAGATGCCTCTGCGCTCAATGTGTCAGCCCCCACGTCGTGGAGCCTGTGCCTCGTACTCCACTCGATCCCTCCCCTTCCCCCCAACTCCAATCCACCCCAGCCTGATGGCCAAGTGCGGGGTGCTGGAGAACCTGCTGGTCAAGGAGCACACCCACAAGTTTGTCAACGCGGGTGGTGACGTGCGGAATCTGGACTTCCGCTTCAACGTCGGGTCGGCCAAGATTGGCGCACCCTTCCACGGGCTCAAGGCCTTCTTCACCACGCCGCAGCTGTCCACGGTGGACAAGCTGTCCAACTCCCTGGCCCTGGGCACCTCGCCCATAGTGCGCGCGCTGTTTGACCCCGAGGGCGGCATGCAGTCGGTGCGCCGCCTGGACGGCATCTCCTTCGCCGACTGGTTCAGGAGCCACGGCGGTAGCCAGGGATCTATAGACCGAATGTGGGACCCCATTGGTGAGTTTTCTTTCCATTTTTCTTCTTTTGGGGGGGATGGGGGGCGGCGTTATACCCCTTGTTTGGCTAGGCGGATGAGTGGGGATGGGTCTGCCAGTGGATTAAGTAAATGTTGTGAGTGCATCTCATGCACGAGAAGGGACGACAGGGTTGCGCACAGTCCACATCCTGTGCCAGACACCCGTCTCCTCTCCTTTAAAGACAGCCAGCAGCGACCATCTCTTGTTAGGCATGCTCCACCTATTCCCACCCCCAATTTTCTCTCTTTCCAGCATACGCGCTGGGTTTCCTGGACTGCGAGGACATCTCGGCGCGGTGCATGCTCACCATCTTCCAGTTCTTCGCCACCAAGACAGGTGGGAGCTGTGGGTGTTGTGGCAAGGTTCAGAAGCCGTGCACTGCGTGTGGTTTGGTGGTACACCTCATCACAAGCCCCTCACTCGAAAGCTATCATCGCACCCTTCCCCCCTCCTATCTTCCCCTTCCCCCACAGATGCCTCCGTGCTGCGCATGCTCAACGGCTCGCCTGCGGACCGCCTGCTGCGCCCCATCACAGACTACATCACCGCCAAGGGGGGACGGCTGCACACGCGGTGGGGGTGCCGCGAGGTCCTGTACGAGACTGACGCCGAGGGGGCGCCCACCAGGGTCAAGGGCCTGCGCATGTCCAAGGCCGACAGCGAGAAGACGGTGACGGCGGATGTCTATGTTGCGGCGCTGGACGTGCCGGGGGCAAAGCGGCTCATCCCCCAGGTGGGTGTGAGTGTGTGTTTGGAGGTCATGGGGATTAGTCCAGGAAACAACGAGCACGCTATGGTGTCAGAAAGGTGGATGGTGGCTTGTTTCTGCTCTTTCACTCCGAAAGTTATGAGCATGGAGGTCTGTCCATCCATCGCAGGCCTGGCGGCGGGACCCCTTCTTCGACAACATTTTTCAGCTGGAAGGCGTTGCGGTCATCACGGTGCAGCTGCGCTACGACGGCTGGGTCACCGAGCTGAGGGAGGCCAGCAACAAGGGCGAGGAGCCCGCTGGGCTGAACAACCTGCTGTACAGGTGAGCGGACTGGATTGGACGTTGCCGCGGCATGCAATTTCCTCAGTCTGGGCATACTCAGGAACCAAGTGGTGTACCGTCAAGAGGAGAACAGCTGAGAGGACATACATCAGCATGGCACCCCTTGACGCCCCCCCTTCCCCCCTCGTCTCAGCGCCGACGCGGACTTCAGCTGCTTTGCTGACCTGGCGCTGACGTCCCCCGTGGACTACTTTAAAGAGGGGCAGGGATCGCTGATGCAGTGCGTGCTGACCCCGGCAGCCAAGTACATGCCGATGGAGAATGCGGAGATCGCAGCTGCCGTCGACGCGCAGGTGGGTGGGCCGCGCTGACGAGAAGGATGATCGCGTTGATCGGCAGTCGCCATGAACGCATGCCCACGACCAGCCACCTGGGCAGGGGCGCCCTGACACTGCCTTGTAGGCTGTCATGGACCCCAAAGTATACCCATCCTCACACTGTCTAATCTGCAGGTGAAGAAACTGTTCCCATCGGCAGCTTCCCTGCAGCTCCAATGGCATTCCATTGTGAAGATCGGCCAGAGTCTATACCGGGAAGCGCCCGGCATGGATGTTTTCCGCCCCGACCAGGTGGGAAGTGCGGTAAAGTGATGGTACAATGCTGTGGAAGTGCAGAAGAACGCAGAACTGGAGTGCGGTCCTACAATCTTGACTGTCTTCACCGGCATGGTTGCTTCGCTACACTGAATCCACTCACACGCCGACCTCTCTTTGGACCCGGCAGAAAACCCCCATCCCAAATTTTTACTTGGCGGGGAGCTACACCAAGCAGGACTACATCGACTCCATGGAGGGCGCAACCCTGAGCGGGCGTCAGTGTGCCTACAAGATCCTGGGGAACGCACCGGAGCTGCTGGAGGCCCGCCCCCAGCAGGCCCCAACTCAGGAGGCACAGCCAGAAGCTGTTGGCGTCTAAGCTGCAGAACGGAATGATTTCAACTTGAAATTATCATACGTTACTTTGTGAAACATGCACTTGGGATGCTGGAAGGATTCAGTTGCTGGTTGGATGTCGCGCCTTCTGCCCGACTACATTCCGGGAAGGGCCCTAGCGGTTCAATCATCTGGGCAGAGGGGTCGGCGGAATGTGGGCGACCGCGAGTACGAATTAGCTCGAGACGTTGCTCTTACTTACACGAGTACATATTGGGAGGGATTCGGCAGACCCTGTCTTGTTTACGCGGCCACTGGGCGTGAACCCTCCCTTGCCTCCCCCCTTGAATGGGCGAGCCCTTTTACGCCACCCGCAAGCTCTTGCTGGACGCCACGCTTCCGGATGGAGTGGTGGCGAGGGTGCTGGAAGAGGCGGAGCCTCTCTCCCCGGGCATGACCACAGCGTACATTCTCCTCTGTATCGTGCTCGTCATTTTCTCGGGCATCATGGCCGGTCTTACTCTTGGACTGCTGTCCCTGGACAGGTGAGCGACCTTATTGTGTACTCAAACTCTCTACGTCAATCTGCCAATCTAAGCGCCTGTATGTTCCTGGTATTCAGGGTGGACCTCCAAGTCATCAAGAGGTCCGGAACTGAGAGGGAGCGCTGGCTTGTCTCACGAATTGAACCGGTGAGTGGTGTCTGAATGTGTATGACGATACAATCATCAGGCAGATCCGTCTCAATCGTGGAGGGACTGGTGCATGCCAGGGCAGGCGAGTCAACTAGGCCGGCTGCATGGGAGGTCCACTTGACGGCTGTCCACTGCTTCCATGGCTGTGAGTGTCCTACTTCACCCCTCCCCCTCTCTATAGGTGCTTGCAAAACCACACTACCTTCTGGCCACACTCCTCCTTTGTAATTCTGGAGCCATGGAGACGCTCCCTATTTTCTTGGACCGGCTGCTCAACCCCGTGGCAGCCATCATCATTTCGGTCACTGCCATCCTTGTCTTTGGCGAGATCTTGCCGCAGGTGCGCAAACTGGGGGTGGTGAGGTTTGGAAGGTACTGGCTGCACCACGCACATCTCTGCATGCTTTCTACCCATCTGGGAGCACTTCCAGGCCAACC